CTGATTACTACATAGTGGCCTCTCCTAAAATGAGTAATGCCACAAATAATAACACTCTCGTTGGTGTTGCGGTGCTTCACTATGATAACTCTACCACACCAGCTAATGGGTCTCTCCCAAGTGGTCCAGATCCCTTTGATGTGCAATTCTCCATCAACCAAGCAAAATCCATCAAGTAATTGCATACCACAAATGGTGCTCTGTATAGTTTATACGCGATTTCCTGTGTTTGTTTGTTTGCTAGCTTATTGTCAACATATTATAATGTCAATATTGGCAATATCAATAGTGCCTCTGTACAGTTTTGACCGCTTCTGAAAAATTAGATCTAAGAGTCAATGTTTAGAACATACGCAAACATTGACATTGTAGGTTTATTTGAATTGCAGGTGGAACCTGACCGCTGGAGCTGCAAGGCCTAATCCTCAGGGAACGTTCAATGTATCAAATGTGACAATAACTGACACTTTCATTCTAAACGCATCTATAGCAACTATTGACGGGTTATCTAGCTACACTGTCAACAATGTGTCTTACTTGACCCCAGATACACCATTGAAGCTAGCTGATTACTTTTCCAATGGAACTGGGGTTTATGAACTTGATGCTTATTCTAAGAACAGATCAAATGCTAACGCCGTGCATGGAGTTTTCGTTGCTAGTGCATTACATAAAGGGTGGACGGAGATAGTGCTCAGCAACAGCTTAGACATCATTGATTCTTGGCATTTAGATGGATATAGCTTCTTCGTCGTTGGGTAAGTAATCTGCTTCATTTAAAGGGTCTATTGCTATAAAATCAGGTTTCATGTAGAAAACTATTCATCCAATGTTTATTGTGAGCTCCACATTTATTGCATATGGAAAACTCCATGTGATAAATAGTATATATTTGTTTTTAGAATGGGGGAAAGAGAATGGGTTCCAGAATCACGGTCAACTTATAACATCCATGACCCTGTTGCTCGGTCCACTGTGCAAGTGTACCCTGGAGGGTGGAGTGCAGTGTATGTGTACCCTGACAACCCAGGAATGTGGAATCTGAGATCACAGAACTTGCAAAGCTGGTATTTAGGTGAAGAGTTATATGTGAGGGTTTATGATCCCGATCCCAACCCTGCCAAAGAGAAGCCACCTCCATCAAATTTCCTTCTCTGTGGTTAGTGCATGTTAAAGCTCTATAAATATTCTCTACATGTTTGTCCTTTACAAACCTTGATTGTTGAATGATGGTGATGAAAAACAAGGATATGGTAAACACTTTTGAATATTCACAGGCAAGTATCAACCTCCTGCTCCGACCCCTTCTCCCTCAGTGTCCCCACCACCAAATGCTCCATCATCCAACGCATTTAATCTACAGAAAACAAGGTATTAGCGCAGTTTGTTCTTTTATTTTACTCAGTGTTATTTCAACTACACTCATAAACCAATTTGCGACCTCACCTACTGTGACAATAAGTTTTGATGGTGGTTGTTTGTTATTTTAACTAATACGTTTTCTTTCTGTAATTTCTCTGTAATACGAACGAATAATAGGTCGCTGATTGCTATGATCGCCACTGTCATATGTTTCTTCTATATTGGTCTCCATTAATTGAAACACCCACCCTTTGCTAAGAATATTGGAGATATGCAGACCAGCACCACAAGGATAAAATTCCTGCTGTGTTTGTTTTTTCCCTTTTAAGTTGGTTGGTAAAGAATGAAAGGAAACTGTATTGGTTCCTTATTACTGTAGTCATGTTACTTGTTTAAGTTTCATTTTTTGCAAGTGTCATTTTTTGGCCACATTTTGGTGACAAATTTCTTAATATATAGAACCATGGAAAATGATGTTTGTTTTAAGTTCAACACCAAATTTAAGTATTAAAATAATTTGTTAATCTGTCCTTCACTTGACACCAATTAAAGCTGTCACGTATAATTTAGGGTTGAATTTTCATCCCCATCCAACTTTATTGTGACTAATGTTTTAAATTCATTTTATTTTGAGGTAAAATAATCATCCCATTTTTTCTTTTACCAAGGATTTGTTAAAGATTTTGATAAATATATCAAGTTTATAATGCAATTTAATACGGCAACATTGAGACTTGACAACCTTTTTAAAAAACAACCCCTCTTTTGAATAAAACACTTACTAACTATATTATCAATATAATAATAATAATAATAAAATCTTAAATTTGTTATCGTATTACTATTATATTAAAATAAACTTGGAGAATAGATATTTGAAAGAAATAAATTGTCTACTTATCATTATTCACGATAACAATAGTATATATAAAGGATAAAGTTTTTCTATAAATATTTTTTATTTAAACAATTTTTTTATTTATCAAATTAAAATAATTTTATTATTTGATAAAATACAGACTATTATAACTCTTTTCACTCAAAGTAATTGTGTAAACTTTCCATTTAAAAATAACTATCACAAATGTAGTTAAATGATTCACAAATAGGTATAATTTTCTCAAGCTACTAAATATTTTTATTTCTCTACACAATCTCTTAAAAACTATTGTTACAAAATTATTTATTTTAATTTCTTTTTAAACTTGCGCCACTATTTAATAATAAGAATAATTCCCGCAGCATGCATTTAATAATAATAATAATAATAATAATAATAATAATAATAATATTATTATTATTATATTTAACATCGTGAACATGTATTATTGAATATAATATTTTTTTTTCAAATTAAAATTAAAACTTATAAAAAAATTTATTGATTTTGAAAATTAGTGTTAGAATATTTCAAAGTTAAGTAAAACTAAATAATATAAATTTGATTTTTTTTTATTTTAAATAATTTAATTTTTTAAGTGATTTATTTAGATAAAATAATTTAAAATTATTGGATAAGATAATTTAAATTTATTGAGTTTTAATTTTTAATTATGATCAAATATAGAAATTTGTATTAATAAACTTATAAATTATGTATATTTATAAAGATGATAAAATAAGTTAGATTTGTATGGATATTTTTAACATGTTTTAACTAACTTGTAAATCCGACAAACTAAGGTAGATATAAAATGATTTATTAATTCATTTTAAAAAAAACTATTTATATATTAAAATAAAAATAAAAATTATAATTTAAAATATTATAGTTCTTTTATATTATGTTATTTATATATATAAATATATTATAATATTATAATTTTGAATCATAAATATTAAAAAATTAAATTTAAATTATTTATTATTATAGAATATTTTAATATATAAATATAATTATTTTTTCAATTAATCCAATAAAAAATATAATTAACGAGTAAAAATTTTAAAAATATTCAAGACAATTATTTTTAAAAATATATGAAAAATTATATAATAATAATAATAATTATTATTATTATTATTATTATTATTGGCGGGTTAAGGCGAAGACCACCAACTTGCTTTTTGGTGTAATAGATCAAGTTATATAATTTGTTCTTTTCGTAACGGAGCAATCATCTCTACTTCGTTGAAGAACAAAGTTCTCGTAACTTATCAACATATTTTATCTAAGAAAAACTTATATGATATAACAGAACTAAAATAACTTGTTCACATAAAACAGTTATAAAGATAGAGTTATTGTAGCTTGTCATAGTTTTTCATTTAATGTTAAAATGTAAATATGGTTTTCTATACATAAGTCCTAGTTATAAGCCCACCTACAAGTGCGAGTTATAAATGACATACAAGTTTGAGTTATAAATGGCGTATGAGTCTCAATTAAATAACAATGCATATGATAAAAAGAAAAGGGTCATTAAAAAAAAGAAGAAGTTTGAAGTGCATAATCCTAATAAAAATATTGTTTAAATTAAATGGTATGCTTGACCGAATTACTAAAGCTTATTCATAGATTTCTTAAAATCATCCTCAAAAACCTTCACTAACTAATAAAAGCCTACAAGACCTATTGTCTTAAACATCTTGATTCGAACTTCTGAAAAGTCTGTTAATATAAAGAAAAATAAGGTGTATGGTCCGAGATAAAAAAAAGTCTTCGAGTAGAGTAACACATTTTATTTTGAATTTTTTTTTAATTTTTAAAAATTGGAAGAATAAACAATAAATAAACTACCATGCTAAGAGCGGTTAAAAAAAAATACTCAACCGATTATTATTATTATTATTATTATTATTATTATTATTATGTGAGAGTTGTGAATTTGTTTTTTTTTTATTGTGAAAATATATTCTTCCTATCTTTGGAGCACTGATTTTATGAATAATACTTAGTGAATTTCTTTATGCACCTCCAAATATCTCATCCTGCACCCTTTTGATTACATTGTGGAAAGTGTAATAATGTAAAAAGGATGTAAGGTGTGTTTTTGCTTTGTACACAAAACAATTGTATACTTTGAACCGTAAATAAAGGAGAAAGAAGCGGCTCTATGCTGTTTGATGCAAGTAGGGTTGCTAAATCACTGGACTTCAAAGAATTAGTCACAAGGAGAGTGAGTAAAATTTAAGTACAATTCTACTTGTCCGTACTGAAATTACTATTTTTTTAATTATATTAAAGACAGAAAATTAACAATACTTATCTATTCTATGAAAATAAATAATGAATTTCGGGTGACAATTTTATTAATATTTAAAATTCTTAATTTTTCATTTTTTGTTAAACATCTACTACTTATAATAGATTTAAAATATGAAAGAATTTAAAATTAAATTAGAAAAAATGATTAGCTCATAAAGTTAATATTTTAATTGGTAAGCTTTGAATCATATACAAATTAAATTAATATACTTTTAGGATCTTCCATTCATCACCAAATGAATCATCATCTCCTGGGAAATATACATACAGAGTGAAAGTGAGTGAAAAGGGTTACAACTTTTTGGTACAAGATTGATGTTTCACTAGGCTTGCACACGTGCATGTATACTTTTTCTCTAGATTTTTGTAAGGGAAACTGACAGCATAAAAGAAGTGAGAGAGGTTCACTCAATTCATCTGAGGAAGAAGAATGCTTCTGTTAGCATCATCATCATCATCATCCCCTTCTCTCACTCTCCCTTCACTCTCCCACTTTCATCATCCTCTTCTTTCTTCATTTCATCGCCCTTCTCTCCACCTTCACTTTCCTTCCCAAGCAACCCCACTTCGCCTCCATACACCACCATCCCTTCCTTGCTCCCTTAATTCTTCTTCATCTGTGGAACAATCTGCTTCATTTTCTCAGGTTTTTCTCCAGTCTTAAATTGGTGCAATCAGAGCTCATTTCATGTTAACCCTTTTATTGGAATCGCTTGCTATTGTTAAAACATGTTTGATGACCCAGATGCAGAATAGCTTGTTGTTCTCCAGAGCTTATTGGGTTACTGAATCTCTCATTGCTTGGAACGAGGATGTTGCAAATGGGTTTTCTTGTTGCCTGATTGCCAGCAAAAATGCTTCTTTGACCATTGCAAATTGCCAAATTCAAGGTTTTGATTTCTGACAGTTCCTTCTACTAGTTCAAACCTGTGAAAAAGAAAAATACCGTTGTCTCTTATTTACAATTGATTACAATGGACATTGACTCAATGGATTGCTAAATGCTATTTAACAGGTGAGGATTTGAAAATTGAGCTTGAAGAGGATAGAGCTGGCCTTCCTGCAAATGTAATCTACCCTTTTGTCCCTGACATCCTTAGTATATTTCTAAATGCTAAAGTGTGCTGCTGATTGCTTTATTATTCCATTATTTTTGAAAATCACATACAGTGAAATAAGGATCTCTTATGAATGCAAAATTTGCGTTGTTAGGTGGTGGAGAAATTTCCTCATATTCGAGGTTACAAAGCTTACAAACTGCCGGCCACTTTTGATGTAAAACCTCTTCTTAAATCCCAGTTAGCGGTTGCAATTTATGATTGTAAGTCCTCTTCTTTCTGCAATATCACATAGAACTAGATGTATACAAACAACTAACAGAGTGTCATGTGCTTATGTTTTTATTAGCAATTTGACATAGCATAGTTCATTTGTGATCTATCCTGCATTAGATTGTAAAGTAGAAGAAAAATTGTGTTTGCAGACACAAGTGTCTACTAATAATCATCCTTTCTTCATTTTGCACAGCTGAATATAAATGCAGGAATTGTACTGGTTTACAGTTACCTGGTGTTTTAGATGAGCTTTTCTCGTATAATGGTCCTCTTGGTGCACATTTCTCAGAGGAAGCTGTGTCACTTTACCTGTGGGCGCCTACAGCTCAAGTATATTTTCTTATATTGAAAAAGATATTGATTTTGATGTGATCTTCAATCTTGTATGCATATTCATATATATATATATATATATATATATATATATATATATATATATATACTTATTTTTTGGTAAAAACAGGGAGTACGCGCTTACATTTATAAAGACCCATCAGGAGATGATCCCATAGAAATTGTTTGCCTTGAGGAGGAAAATGGTGTTTGGAGAACTAAAGGGCCAAAACGTTGGGAACACTGTTACTATGTTTATGAAGTATGTGTTTACCATCATAGCACTTTGCGGGTTGAAAAATGCTATACAAATGATCCATATGCTAGAGGGTATTCTCTATTCATGTCAGTTTGACATTAATTATCTATCATTGACAAATGATTTCTATACTATTTTAACATTCACGAGTAACAGTTAGTATACCTATTTTGAGTGATTAAAAATATAAAATTTAATTTCCCTGATGATTTGTTTACTTTAACACCTTTAACTGTGTTTAAGCAGAATTTCATCGGACGGCAAGCGGACTTTTCTGCTTAATATTGGTTCTGATGAGTTGAAACCCGATGGATGGGATAATCTGGCAAACGAAAAACCTACTCTACAGTCTTTCACTGATATAAGCATATATGAAATGCATATAAGGGATTTTAGGTAACTATTTAGTGACATCTTTAATTTTGTTTGAGGATCAATAATGGTTTTTTCAGATAGCTTATGCGGGTAGTCTGTTGTTAGTTGTCACAATATGTTAACTAATTATTGTGCTTAGTTTTTAAATGTATGGAATTGCTTTTTGCTTTTTGAGTTTTTATGTGACTTTTCCTTGATGCCACAGTGCCACTGACCTCTCTGTCCAACCCGAAATTCGTGGTGGTTATCTGGCCTTCACATTGCAGGTAATTCTGTTATCTAACTCTTGTTATTGATGGAGTTCCATAAGAATAAGAATTCCCATAACTTATGAATTGCGATGGAAATATGAACGGTATCTAATTTATCTTTTGATACAGTTAAACAATAATTGTGATGGGAATTTGAATCCTTTAAAACTTATTGAAATCATTACAAGAGAAAATTTTGAGCATAAATCTGGTGTCTTAAACTTAAGCAACATCCTTGCAAGGAGAGAACCTAATAATATATTGAATTCATAAAATTTCCAGATCCAAAATTCGTCAGTTTAATTAGGTGGACACTTGGATCATGCTGAGGGATGGGCTAGCTTTGCAAGAATATATTTTTTTCTGATATTTTCTTCAATTATTGGTCTGCAACTATACTTTATATTAGCCTCTGATATTGCACTATTTAACTCTTACAAATATCTTCTGCTCTCCGATGGATACTTGGTCAACAATGACTAGTTGATATTGTATCTACTATAACTAATCCTTCTGCGGGCAATAGCTATTATCTGCTAAAAAACATGCAGTAACAGTCTCATGTTTGGGCCTTGTTAGCTCACATATCAATTGCAATAAAATTGAAATGACTCAATGCTGATATTTCATATAAGCCTGCAGTTATTGGGTCACTCCTCTGGCTCTTGCAAATTGTCAGAATACTTTCTTCTCATGTTCTTCCTTTCTTACTGTAATTAAACGTAGAAACCTGCTGTAAATAGTTTAAATCAATCCCTACCATTAAGATGTTTAGTTTTTCTATTTAGTAAATAAAAATCAAACAGCTGACTGACAGTATTACTGTCAAGGTTACCCTTCATGCCCTCTTAATTCAGCTATTTCTCTTGCTCAGGTCCTATCAACTGTCCAATACTCTTTCTCAAATTCCATGTAAGTACGATTCACAAAATGATGGCAATTCAATATAAATTATGTTGGGTTTTTTTGAGGGGATTTACATTTGGTCTGGGTTCATGAATGGAAGAAAACGTAACCATATAAGAAAATACAATATCACCTTTAACCCAAAACCTGAAGACTTTAAGTTTGTGGATCTTTTATATGTTACTCAATTTTCCAATTTTAATCCAAGAGACTTCAACTCACACTTGAATTCCAATGGATTATGTGTCTAAATAACTCCAATTGAAGAAATTAATTTAAATTGAATGATATATTGAAAACATGATTGGTGATTGACTGAAATAATTGGTGGATTAGTAACTGCTACGATGGAATTTGAAGTAAATGTGAGCATATGTTTGAAGGATTCTGCAGGTGTACTTCATCTGAAGAGATTATCAAGTGCTGGTATCACGCATGTCCATCTATTGCCAACATTTCAGTTTGCTGAGGTTGATGATCAAAAGGAGAACTGGAGGTTTGTAGGTAAACTTTATCACTGTTAAACCTCCTCCCTTCTGTACATATTTCATGGAACCTGCACTTCTTGAATCGGTTATATTTTGGTCATTCATCCTCATACAGTTTTTTTAATATAAATTTTGGTGGTAATATAATGAAAAATGAATCTTGTAATATTTACTGTCAGAGATTTTGCTATGTTTCCCACCCTCTAGATTTCCTCTGTCAAGGCCGCTTCATCTTTAAATCACTAACTCTTACAGAGTGGTTTAGGTTTAGTTGAACCCTAGTAAATTAGTTTGTAATTTAGTAATGTTTGTATTCACTTATATATTATATTTTAGTCACTACCGCATCTTGTCACACTTGTTTTTTGGTCCCTTTTTGCTGATGATACTCTTATCCTTGTCATTGTGTGAAATGCAAGTCTTCCTGCCTTGTACATTCTCCTATAGTGACTACATCATTTATCTATTTGGTTTGAAGCTAACAAATAAGATTTGTGGTAAAATATGAGCTCATGTTTATATTCTTGTGGTGTATGTTATATTTGTTATCTAACACTAACACTCTGATAGATACCTCAATACTGGAAAGTTTGCCACCTGATTCAGATCAGCAACAAGCTCTCATCACAGCCATCCAAAACTTTGATGGATACAACTGGGGGTAAGGTCCTAAATCCCATGCCGATTGACTATTCAAAACATCTTATATATATATATATATATATATATATATATTTCTTCTTTTTTTGGTAATATGCTTATCTATAGTTTGCCTTCCAAAGGTACAACCCTGTTCTTTGGGGCGTTCCTAAAGGCAGTTATGCAAGTAATCCTAATGGTCCATACCGAACAATTGAGTTCCGAAAGATGGTTAAGGTTTGATTTCATTGTTTTCTGACAGAATGTTAGATCCATAGATCCAATTTTATATATATATATATATATATATATATTTTTTTTTATTATTATTATTTTATGTTTAATTTGTTAATATAGATCAATAGTACTATTGCCTATAGTCAGTTAAACCATTTTTTTTTTGTTGTCTCCTGGAATATCTATGCTTTGTAGGCTCTTAACCATATTGGCCTTCGGGTTGTGTTGGATGTTGTCTACAATCATTTGCAAGGAAGTGGGCCTTTTGAAGAATACTCTGTCCTTGATAAGGTCATGAAGTTTCTTTGTTGGACTTGTAATTGTTGAGATAGGCATAGCTCTTTGAGTATTTCTTCACTATTTTTTGTAAGCCAACTGCTTTTGTCGTGTGACACAACTTATCTTATAGATTGTTCCAGGTTACTTTTTAAGAAGGAATAGTGATGGTTTCATTGAGAACAGTACTTGTATAAATAACACTGCTGGTGAGCACTTTATGGCTGAGCGTATGATCCTTGACGATCTTGTACACTGGGCAGTCAATTACAAGGTGATTGTTTATATTTTTCACCAGTGTTCAGTTGTTACCTCTTAAATTTTTTTGCTTTAGAAACATTTTCTGTTTATCGGATGTACCCTTTGGGTTCCACGTAGTACTTCACTGTTGTGGAATATTCTCATGGTTGCTTTAAGGGAGTTGCTAGTATGATTTGTTGAGTTTAACTAACTGGCTTCAATTGTAGTTTTATTGTTTTTCGTTTTATAGGTTATCCTGTATTAAAGGATTTCTCATCTTCTCCTCCCCCTTAAGCATACTTTTCTATCAAAAAGAAAAATGTTTAATGAAGTTTCATAGATTGTTTATAGGGACCCTAAGATGCTTTTCCTTTTTCAGATTGATGGGTTCAGATTTGACCTCATGGGTCATATAATGAAGAGCACAATGGTATGTATTGTAACTCACTTACTTTGGCATCTTACAATGTGACTTAATATGAAAATATGTTATCAAATGAGAGCAAGATATGGATCGACAATAGATAAGCTAATTTATCTGTTTGTAATGTTGTTTCACTCTGTTGACCATGGAAAAGCGTAAAATTGCTTGGTATGTGTAGGTTGTAAATTAGATGTAATTTCAGAGTATATGCTGCATAACCGTTGAATGCTAAATTAGGGATTACAAACAGAATATAAAATAATGTCTAGCTGTCTTGATTTTGGATTATGTATACCTGAGTAAAATGCTAATAAAAGATGAATCTTGTCACAAATAAACAAGTGAAGTAGTGTTTTCATGATATTGATACAGGTGAAAGCAAAAACTGCTCTCCATTGTTTAACAAAAGAAAAGGATGGAGTTGATGGTTCAAGTATCTACATGTACTTGTTCCCCATCATTGGTTTTTATGAATTAGAGTCGTTTGTGAATTTCTTTGTTATCTTCCTCTTCTTTCACTTATTTGCATGTTCATTTGTTGTATTTTAGCCTCATATTCTTTCGTTAACTTTCTCTTCATTTTAATTTAAAAAAGATATGGTGAGGGATGGGACTTTGGTGAAGTTGCCAAAAATGGACGAGGGATAAATGCTTCTCAGTTCAATCTCCCAGGAACACAAATTGGGAGGTAAGACTTGTCTGCTATGTGTTTCTTAGTGTTGCTTAGTAATCTTTCAATTTTTTTGGTTAAAAAAGGTTAAGAAGACCTTCTAAATTGGATTGCATTTTTGGGTGCAAAACAAGTTAATTAAAAATGAACATATTCATATAAGTTCACATGATATGTTGGTTTTCTAATGTTAATTCTAAGAATTGGACACATTACCTAAAATTATGACTCTAAGATCCAAAATCATCTGTACAAAATATTTTATTTGATTTTAGTTGTGTTGAAATGCAATACTCAGCTTTAATGATCGAATTCGTGATGCCATACTTGGTGGATCTCCTTTTGGCAACCCTCTTCAACAGGGTTTTGTGACTGGGCTTCTCTTGCAGGTATTGTTCTTCCTTCTTTGATCACATATTTTTGGACTTTATAGGCACGCCTTTGACCTTCAACCCTTAGATATTGTATTGTAATATCTGTCTTCCTTTATTTTTCCTTCCTACTTTTTCTCGTGTTGACTAGGCTCATTGGGTAGAATTTAGGAGCGGTAATGTATTATTATAATATGGGATAGAAAATAACTTATCCTGCTTTAGTTTTGAATTAGAATTAGAATTAGAAACTTCCTTGATGACAGTTATTCGTAGAAAATAAATGTTGACAGTTATGTCTTAGGGTTATTTGATGGTAGGGTGTGTAACTGTAATTAGGGAGAAGGTGTTGTTCTTTGCAGGTTGCGGCCAGAGAATACTCTCTGTACAAGAGCCTTCATATGTGATTTCTGTGTTCAGCATTATATTTAATTGGTAAATCAATTGGTGTTCTATCGTATTTTTTTGAGTGTTTGGAATTCATCCTCTATATGCAGCCTAATGGCCATGATCATGGAACAGAAGAAAATGCAAAATCCATGCTTGCTGCATCAATGGATCACATCCAGGTCTGCAGTGGCTCTATGGACTTTCGTCTTTATGTGGATATCTTATTTTTTAGTTCAAAATGTAGGAACATACTACATGAATTGTAAATATTGTGGTGCCTGCTGATAAACTTGATAGAGATTCCTTGATTGCACTTCATATAAATTTTGCTGTTTCAAGTTTGATAAACATATATCCTTATTTATTTTTTGTTTCATCTTTCGAATGGTTTTGTCATTTGAAGTCAATAGTTGGCATTATGAACAAGACAGACAGTCAAGAAATGCTTTGAACACAAGCTGATATTTGAAATCCATGTTTTTGTGAGGTTCATCGTTGTTGAAAGTCCCACATCGCCTACCTCATATCATTTGGTATGGTTTAAATACATGTTATAGGCTACTCCACATATTGTCAATTGGTTTTATGTTGGAACCTTAACATGGTATCAGAGCCAAAGCCTAACATCTTTTCGGTTATTGTCATGAGCCAAAAGTTGCCTTTTAGTTGGGTTAAAAGTACCCTTTGCCTGGTCCGGCGGGCTTCGTTGGAGGGGGTGTGTTGAAAGTCCCACATCGCCTACCTCATATCATTTGGTATGGTTTAAATACATGTTAGACTACTCCACATATTGCCAATTGGTTTTATGTTGGAACCTTAACAATCATGATAGGACTATAAAACTGGTTTAGATTAACTTAACTTTACAAAATCAGCTTGTAATGTAAGAATTACCTTTGTTTATAAACTTCAATTTGGTCATGTCCCTAATCAGGGTAAGATCTCCATTAATGACTAGACATCTCAAACATGAATTTTGCAAGATTTAGCATTTGTAGGTGCTCCAATAATAGCCTGATATACTTAATGACATTCTCTATGAAAGGTCTAGCTTAACCTTACAAAACATACGTACATTTTTATTTTAGACATTATGTTTTGTAGCATATTATAATGATAAATGAAGGTTCTTTCTCATTTTTTAACTTCAAAAGAATTAGAACTTGGCTATTATTTTAAATGCCTATAAATTCAACTTAAAGATGGTTTCTTGGTAATGGTAGTCACAAGCTTTGGTTTTATTAGATGAACAAGTTGCATGTGCTTTTGATGGGAACACACTCTTGATCATATATAGTTAATAATTTACTTACTTTCTCTTTGTTAAATACAGAAAATAGACACCCAGATAAAGGAAATATTGTTTGCTAGAGTGCCAATATTCTATGTTTCTATCATATTCTGTTATCATGTTTTTATCATTTGAATATTATTATGCATTTATACACATATATATATTACTTATAAGTCATTGATGTTTTTTTTTGTATTTCTAGATTGGAATGGCTGCGAACTTGCAGGATTATTTGTTAACCAATTGTGAAGGGGAAGAGGTATTCAAATTGGTCAATTTTCTGTGTAATGAAGATAAAAATTGTACTTTCTGCATATTGTTTGGGCAAATATCACTGTGGCTTTCTGCATAAGGAATTGTGAGATAATATTGAATTTCTCATTGTATTCTTTCCTTGTTTGATGTATGGTCTGGTGTTTTCTTTTTTTAGAGAAAAAAAAATCAGCATTGAAAAATTAGATGTATAAATCATTTATCTTTTTTATTCCAGGGCCAATCAATGGTTGTTGTGAAGTTAGCTTGATAGTTGTTAGATTTGTGGTTGTGGTGGTGATATGTGTAATGAAAGAGATGGCAATGGTAGGGGACACAAGGTCAATGGTAATTGGTTGGCCTAATGGTAATATTGTGGAGGGTGACAATGATATGTGTGGTGGCAGCTTTGATGACAATGGTAACAGCTGCAACTAAGGTTAGCAACCAGATGCCAGCTGGGGTGATGATGATAGAGAGTTTAGAAATGGTTCTTGTAGTATCAGACTGAGGTGTTTGGAGTTGTTGCATCACTTGCATTGCATGTGGATTGAATTGAAGAGTGCAACTTATTCTTGTTTCATGGGTTTAGGGTTTACTAGTTATTAGATAATACTTTGCGCAAGAAATCTCGTCTAATAATTTCTTTTTGCTGGTGTCAGGTAAAAGGGTCGGAAATATTAACATATGATGGGGCACCTGTTGCATATGCCTCGTGCCCCACATAGAGACTGTAAGATTATTCTCTTATTTATCCCTCAACTCTTTTCTTAAATCTAAAACATGCTCTATATTATTGGCAAGCGTACCAAATTATCAATCGCAGTATAGTATTTCGATTAAATAAAAGTCGATCCCACGAGGAACAGTTTCAATGGAAATTCCCAATTATGCTTACTAAGTATATTAAACAGATTGGGTTTTGCAAATAAGAGTTGAATTGAAATTAAATGATTAAGAACTGTAAATTATTGAGAAAAAATCAATTAAAGGTACTTAGGATTGGTTTCCTTCCTTATCCCTCTTTTGTAATAGTTATTTCAATTAAGAACGTCAATTAACCTAACAATGTTAATGTCACCTACTCAATTCATCCATTTTGATTCCTCACAGTGAAATTCATAAGAAAACCTAATAAATGTTGATTCCTCACACAATTAAGAGATTTCCCAGCATTAGGTTTAGGGTGTTAAGCAATTGATACATTCATTCCATTCCTGACAATTACCGTAACAAATATTCTTACCGTGATCTAGGGTTCAAGATATATTTTCCAATCATATCCCAAACATCAAGAATAAATCATTTCAAAGCATAAAGGATAAAAATAACAACATCAAAGCATAGATTAATATCTTAAAATATCACCATGATACAAAAAAGTTCAAAGGAAGTGCACCAAATCCTAAGAGAATGAAGTTAGCCACTCATGTTGGCCATTACAATGCTCCAATTGATGAAGAAGTGACGAATTGATGAAGATTAGATGAAACCCTAATAGTAGTCGTGCCTCCTCTTCTCTAAGACTGTTTGTTTTTCTCAAAACACAACTTATCTTTTTATAAGAGAATTTGGGTCGGGCCTCGCATCATTCATTCGCTTAAGCGTTCTTCTTTCTTTCAATTTTACTCCAATTATGCTGACAATTATGCTCCTTACTCTTGTATCAAGGTATTCTCGAATTCATCCTATATTGGGAGAAAAATATATTAGAATTAACATAAGTTAAGTGGTTTCATAACAATTCAAGGCATAATTGTATCAACCTTTTACCACTTAACAACTCCCCCCAACCTAGAATCTTGCTTGTCCCAAGCAAAGTAGTTTTTCCAAAACAAAATCATCGCCTATTATCACTTTCTCTTCCAGAACCACAACATAAAAATTTTCAGAGGTGATGCTCCCAACTCCAAATGAAAATAGAACACATAAGCATTCAAGTTACATAAACCAACAAAGAATAATTAGTCCTCAACTATCCTCAGAGAAGCATGATCTCTCAAATAGAGTTATATATACTCATCTCTAATTCTCAAAGGTCAGTGTTTATCTCATTCAATCACTTCATTTAGACAATCCAATATTGATAATCATCTTCAAGCAATCAACATTTGTTAAGCAAGACTTAAATTAAAAGGTCTTTTGAGGCTTGTAATGGGGCTGAGCTAAGAAAGAATTATTGGTTTTTCTAGGATATACAAAAATATTTGAGAAATTCAACTCATATGAACGATTCTTGATTAACAATTCCTCAAGTCAGGTTTCAAACTTCATGCTTTTGTCCCTAACACAATGACAGTGAGTTAATAATCTCACAAGTTATTATTACCCCCTTGAATTATTTATATAAATAAATATTTTTTTTTCATGCTTTTGTATGTATTTTTTTTGGCTTTGCCAAATTTTTTAAGTTTTTTTTTTTTTTTTTTAACAATACACCCCAATAATACTCGTAGGACAACAATAGCAATACCTAACAATAAGAAAAATAATGACATTCATACTCATTTCCTTTCTCAAATATAGGAAGGTAGATAAATAATGTTTAGGCTTAAGGGTTCTGTTTAAGAAACAATATTATTTTTGGCTCAGAAGGGGTTCAAATGGATGTCCTATAATTAATGTAGGGTTGACTATTTGGCTCTAGGTTATATCTACTACAAAGAAAAAAATGCTTTTATCATTTTCAAGTCTTGCCAACATGTAATCACATCAAAGAATCAACCAATATCAATTATCATCATAAAGTGTTGACACTCAATTTATCTGTTTGTGGTACTCTGCTCACCTGGGTTTTGGCTAGCTTCTCCAATTCAGTTAATTCCTAATTTTCCTCATCAATTCCTTTTCACTATCATACTCAATATCCCAAAATCACTTGTTATTAGAAACAAGCAAAATTATTTTTCACGTTCTAGATTTGAATTAGACAATAAGCAATAATATCATATATGACTCTAAAACAAATTATGGGACATCAAGGGAATTCAAAATTTAAAATAAAGCAATTAAAAACATTAAATTAAAAACAAAGGAATTAAAAACATTAAAAATAAAGTAAGTTTCCTCCCTTATTTTCTTCACTTGTCATCTACTCCTTATCTTGTGCCTCAGCCTCAGCTGCAGACTTTCTCACCCCCTCTGGAAAAGTTGGACTGTCCCCAAGCCATTGAAGTAAGGCTTCAAAGTCTTGAGGAGAAGTGCACCGTGTACCTGGAGCAATCTTGTAAAGAAAGAACCTAAGGAAGAAAAATGCACAAAAAAACTTAAACTGCAAAAAGAAAAAAAAACAAATTCAAAACATTTGGTTGCCTCCTATGAGCGCTTGTTTAACGTCTTCAGCTCGACGCCTATTTGCTTTAGGGCTCATGCAGGTGAGTGATCAAGGTGATATATACACATTCTCCATCCCTTGGCTGTCCTTGTGGGAATGAATTTATTCTTCTCATTGCGAATAACCTTACAACTGTCAGAGATTGGATAAATCATACCTGCTTCAGGAGGTTTCAGTCATAGTTAGACTAAGATGTCTTTGGGGTTGTGCAACAGACTTGTAATCTTGTTTTTCAGTTGAGATGGGTAATTCCTCCAAAGTATCTATTCTGAGGCAATCTTTCTTGTCTTCCAGTTGTTGTACAGCTTCAAACATATTCAAATTAACTTCATCATCTCCACTTCTAATTTTCAACTTGCCCATTGGCAGTCTTCATAAATGGCCTTCCCAGGATCAATGGAACTTCCTCATTTTTCTCCATGTCCATAATCACAAAATCAACAAGAAATATGAATTTATCCACTCTAACTAAAACATCTTCTGCTACTTCATAAGGAATCTTTAGAGATCTGTAAGCTAGCTGCAGTGTCATTCTTGTAGGCTTTACTTCCAAGTCTCATATTCTTTTGAACATAGATAATGACATGAGGTTTATACTGGCCCCTAAATCAAGCAATAATTTTTTCACCGGTAATTCACCAATTATGACTGGTATAGTGAAACTTCCAGGGTCCTTGGACTTTTGAGGCAATGATTTTTGGAATATAACACTGCATCCTGCCTCTAACTCTACTGTTTCATCAGTAAATCTTTTTTTCTTAGTTAAGAGCTCTTTCATTGAAAAATTAGATGTATAAATCATTTATCTTCTTTATTCCAGGGCCAATCAATGGTTGTTGTGAAGTTAGCTTGATAGTTGTTAGATTTGTGGTTGTGGTGGTGATATGTGTAATGAAAGAGATGGCAATGGTAGTGGACACAAGGTCAATGGTAATTGGTTGGCCTAATGGTAATATTGTGGAGGGTGACAATGATATGTGTGGTGGCAGCTTTGATGACAATGGTAACAGCTGCAACTAAGGTTAGCAACCAGATGCCAGCTGGGGTGATGATGATAGAGAGTTTAGAAATGGTTCTTGTAGTATCAGTCTGAGGTGTTTGGAGTTGTTGCATCACTTGCATTGCATGTGGATTGAATTGAAGAGTGCAACTTATTCTTGTTTCATGGGTTTAGGGTTTACTAGTTATTAGATAATACTTTGCGCAAGAAATCTCGTCTAATAATTTCTTTTTGCTGGTGTCAGGTAAAAGGGTCGGAAATATTAACATATGATGGGGCACCTGTTGCATATGCCTCGTGCCCCATAGAGACTGTAAGATTATTCTCTTATTTATCCCTCAACTCTTTTCTTAAATCTAAAACATGCTCTGTATTATTGAACATCACTTTCAACTATGTGAATGGGATATAACAGATTTTTATTTTTATTTTGAATTCGAGATCCTCTAATTGGCATCCTTTTGCAGATCAATTATGTGTCTGCTCATGACAATGAAACCCTATTTGACATTGTGAGCTTAAAGGTATCATAAATATTCCAACAATTCTCTTTTGATATTGCAATTTCTTTTTCAAGGTCCTGATACAAATCTGTTCCTTACTTTCAGACTCCAATGGATATCACTGTAGCTGAGAGATGCAGGATAAACCATTTGGCAACCAGTATTATAGCATTATCACAGGTTAAAGAAGTTAAATGGTTTTATTCACTATTAAAATCTTAAAGATTTTTTTATCTCTAATATTTTTGTTAATGCATTTATTTTCTTGGAAATTCAATTGGTGCACCAAATAGGATAGCATAGAGTTGAACATATATGAAGACACCAAGGTTAGAGGAGAATACATAGGTTGATGCTAAATTTAAATGAGAAGAAGAGGTTACATAAATTAACTACTTCAGTCATTTTCACCTGATGAGTTCATGTTGTCACAGTAAAAAGTGCCTCTGTGATGGCATGGCAATTTTAATATGAAAAGGTCACCATTCATGGGTGATGCTTTAAAAAATATCAACTCTAATTTTCTTTCATGTAGCAATATTTTTATTTTTGGTTTTATTCACTGTTGAAGTTGATATTCGAGCCGGTGGGTTTCAATTAGTTGGATCCTTGCAGTTTTGTATATTTTATTAGCCAAACTGATTGCTTAGATTATATAGCAGACGATTTTTTTAGTGAGTCTATTCTGGTGCTAAAGAATTTTTGTGTTGTTAGGGTATACCATTTTTTCATTCTGGAGATGAGATACTCCGCTCAAAATCACTGGACCGAGATTCATACAATTCTGGTGATTGGTTCAACAGGTATTTTCTACATATAATAACCATTGTTACTCTTTGACTTTGCCATGCCAAGATTAGTATATCGGCTACTTCATTATAATGTTCTGAGTTATAGTCATTCGAACAATCCAGTTATTTTTCACTATTTAGTGAAACTTACAATGTGTTTTCCTTGTGCACTCTCAATTTCAGACTTGATTTTACATACAATAGTAATAATTGGGGTGTTGGACTACCTCCTCGAGAGAAAAATGAAAGGAACTGGCCTCTGTAAGTTTCTGAATCATCAACTTATTCAGCAGTATGTGATATAATTATGACCTTTGGGTTATTGAATTTGTGATGTAAAGTAATCTATTGTTAATTTTCAGAATCAAACCAAGACTAGCAAATCCATCCTTCAGGCCTCAGAAGATTGACATCCTTGCTACCCTGGACAATTTCTTGAACCTGCTGCGTATAAGGTACTCTTCACCACTTTTCCGCTTGAAGACAGCAGATGCTATCCAGGTGAGAGATTTTGAATTTCATCATTTTATGCAAATTATTTCGTCTTTGTCAGTGACTAATTATTTTAACTATATTTTCATGTGGCTAAGACATCGATATTTTCATTCTGTTTCTGATTCATTTTTACATCAGATTTACTGTTGAAACTAGTTTTCAACTTTCATTTTATTTTCTCCGATGCAGTTTCCTTCTTGCTGTGAAAACTGTCTCTGGCTAGCTCATTCATGCTAATAGAAGCTTAGGGCACGAGAGATTTAATTAGAAATCTTTTTTTAAATCTAGTTCTGGCCAAGCTTTTTTTTTTTTTTTATATTTGCTTTAACTACAAGTAGTCTGTGAATTTGTTAATTTTTCATGTTTCGGTTAAATAGCAATATGAGGTGGTGGGTTTAATATGTTGGTCCCGATTGTACCTAACATCTTGTTGTTGCTGCCTGGATTTTACCATTATTTTTAATTCAGACCTGTGACAATTTCTACCTTAAATAATACTTTTTCCCGTAAAACCTGATCACATTTTGCCTCAGACAGTTTCAAATATTCAGATATTACCATTATTTTCAGATATAATTGAAAGTTATGTGTGATTACTTTTGGTTATTTAACATGCCTAAAATTGTTCAAACTCTTGTACGGTAGAATCATAAATCTTCTTAAATTTTAAGGAAAGGAGTTACTATTGGGTGCTACCCTTTTATTCTACACAATTTTATTGTATATTTTCTGTAATCAATAGTATTGGCCTCACCATCATCATTAATCTCACTCGGGCTTTCACATCTTGATATTGCGTATCTTTTGTCCCTAATGATTGAGTGGAGCCGGTGGTGATCAAATTTAACTAAATTTATCTTTTATTTGGATCATAATTTATACTTTTCTCTAGATGAGAAAACGTTCATGACTAAGCATGCCTATTTTTTGGTACACAAAAGACCTAAGATCTGTCATAACTGCAGCAACGAGTAAGCTTTCACAATACAGGACCTTCATGGGTTTGTGGAGTCATAGTGATGAGCATTGAAGATGGTAACGATGGCTTTCCTGGGTTGTCTCAGCTGGATCCCATGTATGTTAAATCCTAAGTAATTTTTCGTTTGAGGATTTATATCCTTTAGTTTTGTTGACAAATGGTGTTGTTGGCAGATATTCCTTCATTGTGGTTGTTGTCAACGCAAGTCCAAAAGAAGTATCGTTTGTTAGCCCTACCCTGCACTCGAGAAGTCTCCAATTGCATCCCATACAGGTAAAAAAAAAAAAAAAAAAAACTTAACAATGATGAAGTGAATATTTCAAGACTATGTTTTGTTAAAATAATGTTTTGGTGTCACAGTCAAGTTTGGTGAATTAGTCAACTTCAATGTTAGGGAAAATCTTGCAGAAACTCAGTTTTTGGACAAGTTTCAAGTGGCCTTTCTTGGAGTTCATAATCTAGTAAATTTGATTTCACCTTAACTATCTAGCGGCATAAGGTTGTAGGATTTATCAGAAAGCATTGTTATAACTGTTGTAACATAGTGATGTTTCTTCTTGACTCAACTATCAACAGAATACTATAATTAGAATTCAAAGACACTAGAAAAGATCCTGCTGCATATTGATTCATGTTTCTTTGGTTTATTGAGGTAGGTTTATCCATTTATAATTTAGAAATGGTGGTCAATTCCCTTTTTTGTACTGTGTTACAGGTATCTTCATCCGATGACCTAGTTAAGAGCTCAAGATATGAGGCATCTTCTGGCTGTTTTGTTGTGCCTCATAGGACAACAGCTGTGTTTGTGGAGCCAAGGAAAACCTGAGTCACTGCTTCAGTCAAGAACAAGAATGTAAAAGTTGCTTTGGGATAGTAATGAGGTTCTTTTGTGACCTTCACACACCGAACATTTTTAGATTTGTTGTTCCCAAATCATCTCCTCGTATGCTAGGGATGGAACCTGAAATAAAACATTAAGCTTCAACTTATACAGAGGTCAGGCTTTTTCTGCAAATGTGATTGAAATCTTGATTTCCCCGTCATTACTTTATGTTCTTCATTTGTTATTAGAATTCATGAATCGAATTATTTGCTTAATGTTTAATGGAGAAAACAAAGTGATATAATGCGTCTTGATTAAAATTTATTTCGATCTTAAGTATCCTAGATTTGGTGTTTTGTTTCAATCAAATGCAAATGGCTCTGTTTTCAGAATTTATAACGGAGAAATAGGATAAAAAAAAAAATGGATGAGATGGGATAAAATTAAATTAACTATAATAATATTTAAAGCAACTCCAAAGTCTAAATATAATGGTATTTTTAATAATATTTTTTATAGGAACATTCTAAAATTATTATATTTTCATTGGAATAGAAAATTTGATTCTAATTAATTTATAATATATATATATATATATATATATATATATATTTAAATAATATTATTTTTATTTTTATTTAAAATTAATTATTATCTAATTTAGTTTAAACTTATTTAAATCATACTCTAAACAGTCATATTAAAATTGTCATAATTTAATTTATTCCTACATTTTCTTTTATTGCATCCACAACCTATATTAAATGACAAAAATGTCCTGCATATTTTTAACTTCCACCTACCTCTATGGCTCTACACTTCTTTTCTTCTTTTAAGGAATATCGCCACCGTCCACGTCATTCTTGACGGCAAGTATGCAGGATGACACCACTCAAAATAGTTCGGATTATCTGAAAGATTTTCAAAAGTGTTATGCAATCAATTTTTTTGGAATATTTTCGAAACTCTTTTGAAAAACTTTCGGAAAGGTCGATGAGAAATTTTTTTCATAAAGCTTGTTCTAAAAAACTTCTAGAAAAGAAAATCTGGAACCTATTTATATTAAGACCAATATTTTCATTTTAAATTAATATGAAGGTATAAGAAGAATGCATGGTGCATGAAAGAATGTAAATTTTCTTTGTTTTAGTTTAACTTATTTATCGGATTTGTGGAGTTGATTCATGTATATTTTAACGATTTATCTTTAACACTAATTTATTTTATCTTAACGGTTAAGATGAATTAATATTTTAGATTATTAAACTATTAAAAATTAAATTATGATAATAAGTAATTATCTTTAATTCTAATTTATAAAATAAATGAATTTTTTCTTTTATAATTTATATAATAAATTATTATTTAATAAATTATTATATCTAAAATAAAAATTAATTTTATTAATATAACTAAAATTTCAAAAAAATATTTTTATTTTTTTAATTAATTATTTTTATATAGATATAATTTTTTATATTTTTAAATAAGTTAAAATTGATTCTTTAATCATTTGAGTCTTCCATGAGATTAAATTAGATAAAAATATATGAACAATTTTAAAATATAAATAAAATTAAACCATAATTTTAGTTAGCTCCGAGATTTAGGTTGAATATTTACTTTGACAACGTAATATCTTTCAGCTATTTTATTTTATATTGTATTCAATAATAAATATAAAATGTGTTAAATTTTTTTCTAACAATTTCATAAGATCATTTTAGTCCATGAGAAACTAAAAATAAAAAATAAAAATATATGGAGTGCATATAGAGCCAGGTTGGCTGTCGTTAGGAGATTTTAACACGCACAAAGCCCAGACAGAAGGCCCAGCCCAATTAGTTTGTGTTTTACGCGAGAGCAGTGCCGCCTGCGCTCGGTGCTGTAGCCGGTGAGGTGCGATTCGCGAGCTGCACCTCTATCCCTCTCTCTAATCAGAGGTAACTTTCCTTTTGATATAGTAGTAATAAAATCTTCCGATTTGTGTTCAATTCATTGGATCTCCTCTATCTTTTTTCCCTGTGACAAAATCAAGAATTGCGCTTTTTAGTTGCATGTTCATATGCAAGTATATGTATAATTTTTGAAGGAATTATAGATTCACTTCCCTTCAAGTAACTATTGTGTACCTGCCGAAATTATTTTCATTGTTATTTCTTGTATTTCTTTTTTGGCAAGAACATATGGAATAAACATTAATCGGCTTATGTGGAACTGATACTGCATTGGCAACACCTGTGTGTTATTTGAAGGATCTCCCATCAAGTAACTCCGCTAAATGGATTCATTTTCTCTACCAGCATTCGTTGCCGATGAAACAACTTAAGGCAGTGCATGTCTGCGTTTCATTTTCACTTAGAATGAACATTTTATATTTTAATTATTATTCATGCATTTGGTTATGCAATTTTTTCAATGATAGAATGCATATGATTTTGATAATTGTTACTTGTGCCTGGTTTTTTGTTTGCAATGGCTTACTTGAAAATGATAATCAATATATTTGTGTCATTATGGGTATGATATGGCATTCTCTGTACCAGACAGGATGCAGCCCCTTTGGGCAATCTACTTGATCCTACCAACTAGGGGAGGAAAATAATTTTATTATATTTTTCTGGGGATAGTTTTTGTCTTATAATTACATATTCATAGAATTAAAACATGGGCATAATATGTTTTCAAAAATGAAATATCACGATGAAGTATTTATTCCTAAGAATTTAACATTATTATTCCTCGAAACAAATGGAACCATAATTTTTGCTCTCTGACAGTTTTAGGCGACTTATTTGCTTTGGAATTGATGGAGGCCAAATTTTTTCGCTTTCTCAAGATTGTGGGTGTTGGATACAAAGCCAGAGCTGAAGCTGCAGGGCGACTATTGTATCTCAAATTGGGGTACAGTCATGAGGTGGAACTAGCTGTCCCTCCCGCAGTTCGTGTTTTCTGCTTCAAAAACAATGTAATTTGCTGTACTGGAATAGACAAACAAAGGGTTCACCAGTTTGCAGCTACTGTTCGGACTTGTAAGCCACCTGAAGTTTACAAAGGCAAGGGCATAATGTATGCTGACGAAGTTATTAAGAAAAAACAAGGAAAGAAGTCTAAATAATCATATAATCTTACGTGATTTCGTGAAGTCTAGGATTGAGATGTACATTGGCTACACTTTGTCTGCACAAGTCACAATGATTCAGTCTAGCCTTCAAACAATTTTAGTGTTGGAATCATTGAACCTAGCATTATGGTAATCATGTATTTGCTTTGAATAACAATAGTTTCTTGCTTCTGTATGATTGACATGTACCTTTAGAGTTTATCTTGCTTTGCTGAGACATTTGTCTAAGAATATAATATTACTTTGAAAGTCTCGTTTTCTTTTCGTTCCCTTCAAACAGTTGAAAACATTTATGGAGGAAGGTTCCTTTTAAACTTCACCTCACCCCTTTCCCATTTTCCTTTCCACGAAGTGTTACTTTGCTTTATCTTTGATAAGTGAAGCTCTTTTGTCCACATTTTTACACAGGATTTATAACTAACTAGCTTCAATTTTATCTTAGCTCTGTGCGTATTGAAACTGCTTATTTTGATGTTGAGAGCCCGGTTACATACTTACATAACGCTTCAAGCTTTTGTTTTAAACAAGCTTATTGTGCTGCACGAATCCACCATGGAAACATAATCTGTAAAGAATCTGAATGATCTTTTTCTTTTTTAGTTGTGGTTGATCTTCATGTTCTTTTTATATATATGTTTTTATCCCACATAGAAGTAAAACAAACTTGGCTGCATTATTTTCGCCTAATGGACTGCATCACAAATGAACAAGATTTTATACCCAACAGGAAATTTTGTAGTACTTGAGTTGGGAATTATGTTCCTTTTGTAATCTATTCTGAAATTCATCTGTAAAGTAATTTGTGTTTGGTTTCTTAGTTTAGATAGGGTCTTTTTGAGTGATACAGAAGCTACTAAATAATCTCTCGTGGATGAGTTCGTGAAGCACAAACAGGATAATAATACTGCTATAAAATATTTGAAAGTCAGCTACATTAACTGGCGCAGAATACTTCTCAATTTTTCGGAAGCAAGAGCTTTGAAGATGGTTCTTGGTTTGGTTATTTATCCATCGATACGGTTTTATTTCCTAAGTTCCACATCTCAATGATTTTCCTCAGCGTTGAAGATTGAGTATGAGTACTATGTTAGAAGAACAATTTCTTGGTTTTGGTTAAAAACAATTCTTCATGGCAATAATTGGGCAGCTTGGCATTAAGAATAAGTCAAAATAATTTGGTATTCCTATCACTGTCTTTTATAAAAGAAATAATAATAAAAAACAAAACAAAACCATGTAATTGTTTGTTTCTGTCTTTTTTTTTTTAATGTTTAACTTGAATTAACGTGTCCAAACCCGATTTTGTTTTGCTCTTTGGTTTGTTAGTATAAATTTTATTAAAGATATTGGCAGTCTTTTGATTTGTTGCAGTATTTATTTAATTTTAATAAAAAAATTCCTTAGGAATTTATAAGTTTCATAATGATTCCTCCCTTATAATAACCTTCTTCTTATAAAATAAAATAAAGAAATAAAATAGTATGAATTAAAGTTGTTAAATAAAATAAAATTCTATTTCTATATTTTAAAATAAAAATCCATCCAAGTTTCCTATAAACACTTACTTTGTGTAAGTTAAGATTAAAAAAGTTGCTCTGATTAAAAAGGTTTTTGTAAATTAAAAGAAAATCCAAAATTGATGTAAACCTTTTGGCACAAATAAAGGGAGTTTATACTAATAAAGCAACTACGCTTTTGTAAAGTCTTGAAAACAGATATGTGAATCTTCTTTTATTTGTAAACATTATCGGAAACTTGTGTGAAAGAAACATAAAGTTAACTCGTGCTCGAATCTCACTTCAGAAAATAACTTGAAGATGAAACGCCAATTACTAAGTTTTGTCTACCTTATTCTACTTTTTTTCAACCAGAGATCCACACATTTAATTAAGTGAAATCTTTTCAAGAAAAAACACCTTTTTTGTTGTTGTTGTTGCCCTGTTTTAGTAGTTAGCTTAGGTGACATTGAGTAGCAAACTACATTATCTCTTTAAATTTTTAGAAAGAGTAAAAATAGTATCTTAATTTTACACGATATTCAAATTATTTAGATTTATAATTCTAGAACATGTTTCACAAACTTCTTCATAAATCTTTTCAAAAATAAAATAAAATAAAATAAAATGAGTTTATCTAAAAGTTAAAATTATATATAAGTTAATTTATAAAAATAAAATTCTCATATAATTTTTTTATTGTTTTTAACTGTATATAATATATTTCTGATTTATGAAAAAAATTATCTTGTTTAAGTTGTTATTAAAAAGTTAATCCAAACATAACCATGTAACGCAGTCTATTACCTTTACTATGCTCGAATAAAAATTGTGAATCATTCTATCTTTATTTAGGTTTTGATATATTTTTTCCTAAATATTCATTGAATAAATAAGTTTGTTAATAACTCAGAATGAGTAATTAGCTTATATGAATATATAAGCTAAAAGAAGTTTCGTAAAAAAGAGATAACTTGTTAGTTTATTTTAATATAATTGTGCAAGTTTTTTCTTTCCCCCATAAATACATAGGAAAGATTATCCAGGAAAAAACTTAGTATAGGATATGAAACAAAATGCTTTCATTGGTAGTAATAGATTGAGAATAAATGGGTATGAACTCAAGAACATTCAAATCAAAATTTCCTCACACTTTGTCTGAGAAGAGGAGATGATGTTTGACATGAAGATGAGTAAAAGTTGTAGCAACAGAAGTTAAAGTTGGTGAAGATGTTTTACTGGAATTGAGGGAGAAAAAAGAGAAGAGAGAGTGGGAAGCACAAGAAATCCATGGAATGAGAGAATGCAAAAAGCATAATCAGAAACTGATATACTTTTTAAATTTGAGGGAGCACCGCAGATTCCGTGCTTCCAGGCTTGCACTCCAATCATCTCGTGCACATATCCTTCACCCAAAGTAATGCCTTCTACGTTCCTTCACCAAAACGTTTTAGTGTTACTAAGACAATCTTTTTTCTCAAAACTCCCATTCGTTAAAGTATCCAACAAAACTTTTTAAATTATCAATTTACTGATTTGTATGATTTGAATTCTTCAATTATAAATTTAAATGTTATGAAATGATGATATTGTTATGAATGTTATAATTAAATAGTTAGATCTTAAATAAGTATGTTGTAGATGGGATTTTAGAAAACATGGATAAATAGTAAATAGTGAGACTAGGGAGTCAAGGAATAAAGAGAGGTAATAAAGAGCCTGGTAAAATGGTGCCACCAAGCTTTGGTTGGGGAAGTTTTCATTTCGTTAAGTGCGTTGGCAAAGTGTGAGAAAGAGAGTGTGAGACGGACTTGTGTTTAACAAACCACTCTTTCCCCCTCTCTTCCAATCTGTTCACCCTTCACCACACTCTCCAAATTTGGTCACTTTCTGTTGAATTGCATTATTTTTGGTCTATCTTTTTCTTGAGTGCTATATTCTCTCTTTTTGTTTCTAAATTTTCTAATCTTTTATAGCCTATAAATAAACACTTCCAAAACTTGGATTGCAGGGCTGATTCACAGTTACTGTTGTATTGGGTGGCTTTTGACTCCCCCAACTTATTATATCCTTCACTCCTTATCTATATATAATAACCAACCTCCACTCTCCTTTCTCTGCTTCCTTACAACCCTCCTAGCCCCTCTCTCTATATTTGTTTTTTTAAGGTTAGGCTTAGGCCTGTCTTTGGTTGTGTCAGGAAGAAACATGGAAACACCAGAGGAACTTTCTCTGGGGGGGTCCAAAGATCACACCAACATTGTCAAGGGGAAAAGAACCAAAAGGGTCAGGCCACAATCCCCTATCCCCTTCTCCATCACTGCCAATTCCTCCACCGGAGATGGAGAAAGAGAAGATTGCTACAATGTTGATGACAACACCAACACCACCATCAACAAAAATGATGATTTTAATAATAATAACAGCTCTCCCACCACATCTTCTGCAGGATTACAAGACAGCACAGATGAAGAGGAGGACATGGCCAATTGCCTCATCCTTTTAGCACAAGGACAATCCCGGGAATCTCCTAGACATGCCGAGGAAGATGTGGGCATTAACTACGCCAAGTACAGCAGTAGAAAATTCTTGGAAGCGGCCACCCTGGGGTCTAGCAGGGCAGGGTACTATGTTTATGAATGCAAGACATGCAACAGAACTTTCCCTTCGTTTCAAGCACTTGGAGGCCACAGGGCCAGTCACAAGAAGCCTAAGGCAATGATGGCCATTGGCCAAGAGAAGAAGCAGCAACACCTTTTGTCATCAGATGAGGAAGAGTTTCAATTGAAGACCAATAATAAATCACCATTTTCCCTACAACTGAATTCGAAGGGGAATTTGTACAACAAGTCCAAGGTCCATGAGTGCTCCATCTGTGGTGCTGAATTCACATCAGGGCAGGCACTGGGAGGCCACATGAGACGCCACCGCGCCCCCGTTGGGATCCCCACCACACTCTCCTTCACCCCTTTGGCTTTGGAACCAGAAGAAGATCAGCCCAGAAAGAAAAGAAATGTGTTGAACTTGGAATTGGATCTCAACCTCCCTGCCCCTGAAGATGATCAAAGAGAATCCAAGTTTTCCTTTGCATCCAAGCAACAACAACATGGACAGAAACAACAACAGCAGCAGCAACAACCACAAACAAGTCTTGTCTTCCCTGCCCCAGCTTTGGTGGATTGTCATTACTGACAAGGTCTAGATTCACATTTCACAAGATGGTCGCTAAATGAAACCGGGGCTATGTTTTTCTAGCGATACATTTGTTGTCCATGATCTGATTTTTCTTTTCTTTAAATTTTTTGATCCATACATTTATCAATATTTACATTACATGATTCTTTTGATTCTTTATGGGCTCGATGGAGCCACGGTGATTGTGGGTGAGGTCAGTTGTTTATTGGAGAAAGTTTTTATTTGTTCTCTGAAAAGACCTCTCCAACTCATGGATAGCGCATGTGGGTGTCTTTTTTCACTTCTTTTTCATTGTTGTTTGGCTCTTTTTCCGTGCCAGAGAATATGATGTATTATGACTGCAGAAAGAAAGAGGGGCAGAGAGGGTGTTGGTACTATCCAAAAAGTCTTTGTTTAAGTTTCATTGTTTTGTCCACAAGAAAACATGTCCTCTCTCCTTGTTTTTCTGTGTGTCCCCCGTATTGGTCATGGAAATAGAACAAAAGTAGGGAAAGCCAGTAAGTAACTGCTACTCCCACATGAATCCTCAAGGTTTACCAATATACTGCCATTCAAACTAATTATTATTGATCACATAATTTTTTGTTCTTTCTTTCCTTCATCTCTCTCTGCAATTTATTGCCTACTCATTACACCTAAGCAACCCATGAAACCAACCACTGCTTCATAATTCACAACCCTCAATTTCCCCACCAAATCCTCATGCTTGGCTTAGATACAGCTAATACAAAGTACCATAATTACACAGTACTAAACTGTGTCAGATCAGAGTTTGAACTTCATTGCTTTCTTTTCTTTTTGATGAATTAAAAAGAAGCGTTGAAGAAAACTGATTACTCCCAAGTGTAGATTTACACTCTACCTATTATTATCAAGGCCATTGTATATGTAAGATTAATTTATATGCAATCATTTTATAACAAAGTTCCTTTTCTATGCTTTTCTTTTCTGTTTTTATTTCTTCTTTTCTCAAGAAGTCAAACGCAGCATGAGATAACGCCAATCCAAGTTGTGGTTTAATTTCTAATTAATCAGAATTAGTGTATAATAAATAAGTATGCTAAAGATGAACAAAGAGGGTGAGGCAGATAAAGTTTACCAAGTCGAGTAGGTTGCTAATCACGGTTTCACTTCCCAAACCTAAACCTAATTTTGGTGTTCAATTACCATTTTATTTTGTTAAATGGACATTAAAAGGAGAAGGTGAATTTGGATAATTTTTTAAAAGAAAAAAAATGTCTGGTAAAAAAGGGATGGAACCATAGTTCAGTTTTCTAATTAGAAACAAATCCATCAGCTCTAACGAAACACCAATGACTTTTTTTTTTCTCTCTAAATAGAATTTAAAACATTAAAGTATGATAAAGTTGAATGGGGATGAAAATTGAACCCTAATTTTATGTGACATTTAATCGGTGTGATGTGGTCCTCTTGATAAATCAAGCTTATCTACCTATAATACTCAGTACTTGACGTGAAACGATGTCGTTCCAGGAAGAAATTGAAGTCGGCCCAAATAACTTCGTTAGCAAACTATGGAAGCAACGTAAGCCCATATGCTATAGAGCTTGCTTGTTCAGGTAGTGGTATTAAGAGTGAACAAAAGGTTTTTGTTTAATGCTTGAGATTGCACCTACATTTATACTCGACAAAAGAGTATTTGTGGAGGAAAAGTGTAGGTTGTACGTAGAGTGTACACAATACATGACTCTTCAATATACTTTGCCTCAACCCCACACTTTACCAACCATACCACTTTATCTGTTACTTCTTAGTTTGCGTGTGACTTTATACTTTAAATCATTACTAGACACTCCAGATTTTGTGTGCTAAGTTTCTGCTTATTACAAAATTTACTGTTTTCATGACTATATCAGCAAGCATCTTTTACAAAACCCAAATTTCGTTAGTTACTTGGGTCCTTTACACATATAACAAGAGTTAGGTGAAATATAGTATCAATATTTCTACCTATGATTCATAAATTAATTTATGAATATATAATTTACAATTATTTTATTATAATAAAATAATTATTTTTTATTTAATAAAGTTGAATTTATTTTTTATTTTATAATTTAATTTAATTATAATTAAGTTAGGTTCGATGATTAGTAAGATTGAATAATTTTAAAAAAATTATTCAAAATATTTTAGAATAAATATTGATTTTTTTCTTAATATTTTTAATTTAACTAATTTTAATTAAATGTAATAAATATAATATAATATAATTTACTAAATTTTTAATTATATGTAAAATGTTTTATATTTTTTTATTAAATGAATAATTAATTTATTATGATAAAATAATTTTAAATTAATTATTATTATTATTATTATTATTATTATAAATATAAGTATTGATGGTCGTCATAGTTTTATATAATTAATTTATATGTTATTAGTTTTAATATTGATTCTTTTAGAAAATTAGTTTAATATATTTTATTAAATTTTAATTTAATATTTTTAATTAAAACATAGTAAAGAAGAGAGAAGAAAAATAATAATAAATAAATAAAGAGAGAAAAAATAAGATACAAATGAGAAAAAAATAAAAAAATAAGATGAATAAGAAAAACAAATTATAATAACTTCTATATATATATATATATATATATATAATTTACAATTTTTGGTGATTTTGTATAACATATTTATTTTTATATATCAATTTTTGTTATTTAATTTTTTCATGTGTCCATCACGTGAATAATACCACCATCAACATATCAAAGGGAAACATCCTATCGATACAACAAGCACACACCTAATAACAAAGATCAACTCCTCGTATCAGAAAATCGCATAATAAAAAAAAATCGTCATTATATAATTTTTAATACATTTTTAATCTTTCTTTTTACTTTCCAATTTATATATTTTTAATGTATATTTGACTTTTATTTTACTTAAATTTTTTATCATCGTATTAATATTTTTAACGATTTAATCTCTGCAAAATTTATTTAATATTATTAATGTCAAAATATTCATTCATTATTTATTTATTAATATAATAATATCTGTTTATTCCGATATGTTTCTATGTTTAAATTTAAATTTTACTATTTTAATATTTTTAAAATATTTTATTTTCTTTTTAATATATACATTTTTCTATATTTCATTATTTTTATTTTTATTTTTATTCACTTCTTACTTTTTTTATTTTTTTAATTTATGACAATTTATTGTATTATTTTTTTTCCTATTTTTCCTTTTTTTAAAATTTTTTAATTAAATTAATTTTTTCAATTGAATTTGATAAATATAAAATTAATTTTTAATTTTCTCTCTCTTTTAATAATAATTAATATTATTTTATTTTAATTTATTTTTATTAAGTTTTATTATGTTATATTTTTTGAATTTTATTATTTTGTTATATATATTAAATGTTTTTGATAAAATAATTATATTTTGAAGGAGTAAAAAGAATTTATAATTAAATTTTTTAATAAAATAATTATTAGTATTTTTATTAATATAATAATAATAATTATTGTTATATATTATTATTATTATTATTATTAAATATAAGAATAGAGAATCCGGATAACCGGGACTCTACATCCACTCTCTCATGTTTTTAAGTTTTCATACAGAAACAAACCCAACAACACTCATTAATTATTTCGTCAGTAAATAAGTGGATTAGGGTTCATTTCTCAGCATTTGTGTTAACTTGATGGTGGTATGGTTCGTTTTTTGAATTTTTATTGTTCTGTGTGTTCTCGCTTCAATTTGAGGATGATTTTTTTTTTTTTTTTCTATTACATGACGTTTTTGTCTGTTTGGTGGCCTGATTAGTGCAAATTGAGTTTTAGGCTGATGTGTTTACTCACCGTGGGTTTAGTATGTTATTGTGAAAGTGCATGGTATATCTTTTTCTGATAAATTAGCCACTCTGATAAGCTTATACCTTAGGATTATCCACTCTGATAAGCTTATACCTAAGGATTATCCACTGTGATAAGCTTAGCTTATACCTTAGTTTTCATCGAGAATTTATCAAATTCATTCAAATCTTGATGATAACAAGAGAATTGTCAAATAAATATTAGTTCGAAGATTGATAATATTCAAATAAATATTTATTTATCCAAATAGCTCAAATATTTTTAGTTGTGAATTTTTATGTTGTTACTCTGGCAGATAATCCAGCACCATGTCTAGCTCCCAAGAACTATCAATCTTGTAAAGGGTAGTTGTAACCGTTGAAACTCCATGTCTGGGAGGAAGGGAAGCCACCAGAATAGTAGTCCCAGCGCTGGAAAAGCTTGATCACATTCTTAATCAAAAGTTAATTACCCGTGAAGATGTGATCCAGATAGTACTAAATGTGAGGTACGGCTATCTTAGCGATGCGCACAATATTGTTCTGTCTAATTTCAATTCAACATGTAATTGCACTCAGCTGAGTGAAACTGTCTGGTTGCAAGAGTTGAAGGACATTTGTGATTATACGGTAGATGTTGCTGAGAAATTCATTGCGAGAAGAGATAGGCTGAGGAATGTTTGGCTTGTTTTCTGTTCTTTTGAGCAACATCTTATGGAGATGACACTCATGCAACAGATGAAAGTATCAATACTCAGTTTGGAGATGCATATTACAAAATGAGAACTTTAGGCGATGGAGGTAAAATGCTCATAGATTTACAAGATCAAACCCTCTTAGATTTACAAGTTTCCCAATGTTTGTGTCTTTGTGGAAGACTTTTGACCAGAACTTATAGACAACCCGAAGATATTTAAATTTGATGCATGCTATTATTTTCATTGATGGAGCGATGGAAGGCCTGAACCAGAGACAGAAAGTGTGTGTGGAGCAATTAGAGACCTCAACTACTTGATGAATGAAATCATTGATATCTTAGACAGGAAGGAAATTTATGGCATTGCAAATATTCAGGGACGATGAAAAGAATCACTATCTTCCTATCCAAGCATCCAAGGAATCGAGAATGACTTTACTGTTGAATTTGATGACATAAATTCTAGTACAGAGGAAAATCTACTCGCACAACCCCATTCCTTTTCATATCAGCATATGACAGTGGTCGAACGGGAGTTCCAATTAATCACAGGCGAAAAACAATTGATGGATGCACTGTTTCTTCTTGAAAGGAAGTTAATCATGTTTTCCATTATGAAACAATACTTAAAATAATTGTATTGATAAGGTGATGAATATTTTAAGTAATAATACATAGAGACACATATTAAACCATATATTTTCAATTATTTGTTTCAATTTATAAATATGTAAGATTCAATTTCCAAATAAAATCAATCCATTAATGATAAATGATTAAATATTCGATGTTACAGTACTTATTGTCATAAACAAGCATTATAAATATAAAATATTATAATGAAATGAGATTTATGTTAAAAAATATTTTTTATCATTCTTCATTTTATTATAATTTAATATTTAAAATAAATCATTATTTTATATAACTAAATTAAAAAATAATAAAGATAAAGAATAAATACTTATTTTTTAAATAAATGTATCTCTTGTTTTTTTAGTTACAATCCTTATTTTCAGAAATCACACTTCAAAAGATGTTTTTTTTTTAAATAACATATATAGCACATTTTCATATATTGTGCAGACAAAAAATTACATATTATTTTTAAAAACTAAAAGAAGACCTTCTTCATTTACATGTCTTTTTAAATATATACAAAGTAAGTTGAAAATATTATTTTAAATATATAATATACATTCACTAGCATTCCTAAACATACACAAATAAACACAAGATTCCACCTCCACCACACAAAACAATCATAAAATAATACAGTGTCTTTCAACATCGTCACAATTTGTCCTGCCAAATAAAGCTGAACTGTATCTTACGTTGGATAAAGCACACAAGTACAAGTAATTTATATCAGAGAGCATGCTTCTCTATACTAGAACACAACATATGCACTGCAACACTGCAGTTGATCATGGTCACAAGCCACAATTTTGTTATATTTTTTGATACTATGAAAAATTACACATAAATAGAGATAATGTGACTAAAACAGTGGTGACAGATACTCCAGGAGCCTCAATATTTCACCTGAAATCGCTGTGGAAGATGGTTTTTAAAACCTTGGAAACTGCAGACAATAAATGTTGAGAGTTAGAGGAAAGGAATTGGAAATATGGTAAGTAAGGACAATATATACAAAACAGTGGAAGTGAGTAAGGAATATGAAGTTGAAGCATACATAGTGAGAATAGCACTATTAGGTGAGTATCAACTTTGCCCTTGCATGACCTTGTGAGATCTGAAACTGTTCAGTGATACCTAAATGAGCCATTAAAAACCAGACATGGGTAAGCAACTCACCCCCTCGACTGAGTTGTTTAGCATGTTGAAACCCTCTACACTGGCTTGCTGCATGACACAACATCTCCACCCAAACATCACTTATTACTTCCCATTTCTCTTCTTTCGACCAACTCGGATGCGGTCCTAAAGAATCCAGCGATTTAGCAAGCCTGTGTGCATCAAACAACACAGATTTGCTTCGATCTCCTTTAACAACTGATGGTAGAAACTTTTCATCCACACTCACTCGGTCAATCACTTGACAAACTTGTTTTATTTGTGATATATGTTTCCTTTCTTGCAAAAGTTGGCTGACCTCGGCACATGTGTCTTCAAATCTGATCTGTCCAATTCCAGTGGGCAACATAAAAGGACATTTAATAAGAAGATATAGCATATAATCTGAGAGCATTTTACTCAGTCGATAACTTCGGAGCTCGGCACAATCTTCATCTGAATGATAGCAAAGATCTGTAGCTATATGCCAAAGCAAAAGGCTTTCATCAAACTCTAATTCAGTTGTGCTCCATTTGATGGAATCGCATTTCCATCCATCAAGAACCCAATCACCCCTTCGACCGCATAATATTTTACATTCTTTCATATCTTTTGCATTCCTAGACTTTTCTAGAAGCTGTATAAAAATGAGTTTTTTCAATTCATCGGGTACATTTTCTGGTTTTTGGTGGTAAAACTTCTTGAAAAGCTTATACATGAATTGGAAATTCCAGATTTTTATTCGTTTGGTTGGCTCACCCTTCAGGCAAAAACTGAAAAGGTTTAACTGTGACATAAGATTAGACCACCTCTTAGCATGTGAGTGTTCATAACATTCTTTAAAACATGAGAGTAGAAGATCCACTCTCTGATTCTTATGCTTGCTTAACCAATGCATCGTCCAAGGTGAGGAAAGTAAAACGATGGCAGCATATATCTCAAGAAAAATGGCCACAGCGAAAAGCACAACAGTAATACTCTGGTAATATGCTTCCTCTACCAGACAAAAAAATGCAATAAATGCAGAGAGAGTGCAGAAGAAGCTCACAATTTTGAGGAAAATGCCTTTGCGAGAGTACGTTACCACTGCTTTTGTATATAGTTTATCATACATCAATCCAAGTTCAACTGCAACCACTTGAAACGCATCATTCCATTCCATTTTCTGAAACAACTTTTGGCTGTCTCGGTGGTCTTGGAAGCCAAGAATGAGATCTGCAAATAGGCACTCGAAAATCTCAAGGAAATAGAATCCATTGTGTATAAGCGCAGCATCGGGTACACTGTCATTTACTATTTCCCCTTGAGGTTGATCCAATAATACTGTAGAAGATTCAACCTTCAATTCAACGATATATCCTTCATCTCTTTTTGCAGTGCAGTCGTCCATGAATTTGGCATAATTAGGTCCTGGATCGGGAGGAGGGAGAATGGATTTTCTAAACTTCTCACTGCTTCCCAACCACAACGAACAAGTCCTCTCACCATATTTGATTATTCCTGCCACCATAACTGGAATGGTGACATAATTAAGTTTGGTACCATTCCATGAACCGTAAACAACAATAACTGCTCCTATTGACTGGGAGATTAAGCTAAGCAAGTGTCGAAGCCAGAGCTCATTATCTTCGAGGGAGTAGGCAGTGATTGTGTCAGGGCCACCCAGATGCAGAAGAAGGAAAGGTGCCCAGATTATGCAGTTGGGGTCCATTGAAGAATTTTTGCTGTCTTTGGAAAGAATGCCCAAAGCAAAGGTAGCAATCCCATCTGCTACCAGATAGGTTAACCATACACTTAATTGCACCCATATACTGGTACTATACTTTCTTTGGTTGCCAAGAAATATTAGGACTATTTGCAAGGCCAAACTAACTAAAATCAGAGCTTTGAGTTCCAATATATTCCAGACAACTGAAAATATGCACATTCAATGACCATCAATTTGCAGTCAAGGAAATCAAGGAGATCTGGTTAATATTAATTACTGATGAAACCATATACAATCATAATCATAATGGAACCATGTACAACTATCATCCAATTACAAATTATCTTGACATAACTCATCCCAATCACGATTTCTATTTGTTAGACATAATAAAGTTGTTTACATTGAATGTAAATTGAAATAATAAGTGAAAGAACTAATTTGATTCATGAAACAACCAATATTCTTACCGGAGAATAACATTTTTTTTTGCGTTTCTCTTTGATTGCTAGCTATTATGTTCCAAGCAAATGCCAACTTGCTTTTCCTCAGTGCCTGTCTAACCCATGTTTGAAGAATTGATTCAAACGGTAAAAGATATTAATTGAAAGCTCTGTTTGTTATACTTACAAATTCAATTTCACATAAAACTATTTTATCATTTTCTTAATCTACATAAAATAATTGATTTAGCTAATACTGAAATACAGATTAAATAATAAATGTATTCGTTGTACCATATTGAACGAGTCATTTGATATAATTATATATTTTTATTATTATTATTTTTATTTGTCATCTAAATAAGACTGAAAGATAGATTTGTACATTTCCCCTCACATGTTCTCTCCCAGATTTTAGATTGGATTTAAATACCTGTATCCAAACATAAGAATGAAATTACAGGATTGTTGCTCGATGTTGAATGGTAAGAATATAGTATATAATTTTATTTGTATTGAAATAATTGAACGTGTTCCTATTATCGTTGACCTTCGTGTATTTATTCTTTATATTTTATTTAACCCTATCATACAGCTAAACAAAACCTATAAAAAACTTGTCAACATCAATTTTTCTTCCACCATGACCATGAAGATGCATGAATTTATTTAAGACTATTTTTCATTTAATGTTATTTTATAAAATATTCAATATTCACGTCAGCCACAGCTTTTCTTCCACCATGAACGCGCAGGAAGTTATTTTATACTCTGTTTTGTTTTTCATTTGACATTATCACTGAACGCAACAAATCCCATATCATCAATTGAGGGGGAAATTCATCAACAATCCAATACATATCAGTCGAAAAAACCACTAGCCTTGCTAAATGCAATAATCAAAGACAATGGAATTGGAAAAAAAAAAAAAAAAAACACCATTCAATATCTTTTATCAATTTTTATGCTCCTTAAAATGGAATAATTGAACAGAAAGCTAAACAAATATCATAGCACAAACAACTACTTTTCTTCGATTATGAAGATGGAAGAATCTATTTTATACTTTTATTTGTTAAACATTGTCTTCTATTCAACTGAAGAAATCCCATAAAAAATTTTACCGTGCAGGACACGAAAAAATTATTTTGGACCATGAAGATATTTTATACGTTTTTCATTTACGTTATCACTCAACAACCCAACAAAACCCATAAAAAATTTACCAGTTGCATGAGAACAACAAATTTTCAATGACCATGTGAAGATGCAAGAAATTATTTTATACGTATTTCAATTCATTTAACGTTAGCATTCAATTCAGAGAAACCACATAAAAAAGAAAAAATGATTAGTTGGATGTGTACCCGTTCGAGTGAACATCTCTCTCAGCATTGACTTTCAATATGCATATAGTTCATAAATAACCTTACTTTTTAAATACATGATCAAAATATTTTTAGTCGTGTGTATGCAGAAAAAGTGGGTTAGAAGAGATCAATCTCTGAAACGAACTTAGCATATGAAAGGATTATTGTTTGACTTAGAACAATATTACCTAGTTTACTCAAAAGTAAAAAAAGAAATCTCTTGGCGTTGACTGAAAATCCGAACTAGCATGGGAGATACCTGAGAACGGAGCTGTCGTTAGTGTCTACTTTGAGCGAAGAATGAGACAATTAAGAAAGAGGGTGAAAGTTTTGGAGGCAGGTAGCATTTGACAACCAATCTGCGGCAAAATAAGGAGATTGAGATGGAGGCGAACGGTGACATGATGACAGAGAGACTACTGAACGAGGAGAATGGAGTCGCAGAAGCCACCCCGACCGAAGCCGCGAAGAAGCTTGATCACATTCTGATTCAAAACTTAATCTCCCTGGACGACGAGGTGATCGAGATAGTACAAAATGTGAGAGATGGCTTCCTTATTCTGTCCAATTTCAACTCAACAACAGGAGAGTGGAGTCAACAGAGAGAAACGGTGTGGCTGCAAGAGATAAAGGACATTTGTGATCATACAGTGGCAGTTGCTGACAAATTCATTGACAGAAGAGAAAGGCGGAGGAGTTTTTGGGAGGTGCTCAACCCTTATAGCCAACATGCTATGGAGATGAGTCTTATGAAAGAGATGGAGCTTATCAGTACTCAGTTCGGAGATGCAGTTTACAGAAGGTGGACTTTTGGAGATGGAGGGAAAATAGTCATGGGAGACATGTTAGGATCAAGATCAAAACCTCTTACGTTTACATGTTTGCCACTGTTTGTGTTTTCATGGAGATCTTTGGACCAGAATTTGAACACAACCCGAAGATATTTAACTCTAATGCGAGCGTTTCTGAGTGATATTGATAGCACGGAAGGCTTGATTCTGAATGAAAGGCAGAAAGAGTGGTTGAAACAACTCAGAGTGGTGGCTCGGAAGGGGAACTCTCTTTTTGATGCGCATCCAAAGGATCGTGGGTTTCACTTTCTCCCTAAAATAATCAGATTTGCGAGGGACATCAACTTCTTGCTGAATGAAATTCTTCACATCTCACACAGGAGGAACATTTATGGCATTGAAAGTATTCAAGGACGAGCAGAAGAGTTGGAATCTGGAGACGGGAACCTGAGTGAAATCATTGTTCATCCCAGGGACAACAATTATGGGACGGAGGAAAATTCTCATGCACCACCAAATTCTTTTTCGTATCAGAATATGACAGAGCTAGAACGAGAGTTGGAATTAATCAGAGGCGAGAAGCAGTTGATGGAAGCACTGTTTCGAGATGAGCAAGACATAGGATCGGAAAAGCTGGATAAAAGATCCAAAGTCTGGGTGGACCAAATGCGAGATGCTGCACGTGAAATTGATGGTGTCATTGCTGAGTACGGGCCAACGGTAAACAACATTTTGGAATACCAGGCACGGTTGAATATCTTGGACACAATAAACAAGATAAGACACAAAATTCAAGATGCCTCCAGAAGTATAAAAGCATATGGTTTACTTCAACGTCAATCCCGAACCGAGTTATTGTGGACCATTCAAATATTACGTCCAGAGACGCAAAAATTTCACGTTAAAGAACAAAGAATCGTTGGATTTGATGAAGACGCAAAAGTTGTGATGGTCCAGTTACTTTCCAATGAGAAAGTTCGGTGCATTAGTTCAATAGTGGGGATTAAAGGCACGGGTAAGACAGCCCTGGCCAAGTTGATATTTAGAAACCAATCTGTCATTGACCATTTTGATTGTAGAATATGGATATCAGTGTCTCCAACTCTCTGCACACTTGAACAGCTCAGAGACAAAATAGCCGAGCAGGCTGCCAAATTAATTATCAGACACCAACCAGAGAAATGGACAACGATCGACGTGCTCAAAACCTTAGAGAGTAAAAAGCATCTCATAGTGTTTGATGGCGTCGAAACTCTCCATGTCTTGGATACCTTGAGAGAGACCATACCTGACGGGTCAACAGCAAGCAGATTTCTTCTTACCACTCGCAGTGCAATTGTAGCGCAAAGTGCAGGTGCAAGGTTGTCCTTTGTTCACCCTTTACGTTTATTAGATGATGAAAATAGTTGGATTCTGTTTGCAAGAAAGTTGAGGGTTAACATTTATTCAGAACCAAAGCTACAAGAGATCGAGGGAAAAATTGTGACCAAATGTGGGGGCTTGCCAGGGGAAATAATTAAAATGAGCACTTTGCTTTCACGTAAACCTGCGACAGAGGACGAGTGGTCGCGCGTAGAGAAGCGTGAGAACTTTTGGTCTGAAGCACTCGTCACAGTCAACACCAACTTACCTTCGTATCTGAGGAGATGTTTATTCTGTTTTGAGTTATTCCCTGCTGATTTTGAGATTCCTGTGAGAAGATTGATTGTCCTGTGGGTGGCAGAGGGTCTAGTGCATGTTGGGGAAGACCAAGATGAGTCACCGGAGCAAGTAGCAGAGAGGTACTTGACAGAGTTGATAAATCACAACATAGTTCAAATTGCCAAGAGAAAGTCCGACGGCGAGATCAAAACATGCCGTCTCCCCAGTGTTTTGCAAAAGTTCTTGCTGACAAAAGCTCAAGAGTCCAGCAGTCAAGTCCACCCTAGCACGGAGCTGAATGCAGTCACAAATAGTTCCCGAACACGTCATGTGGCAGATCGTCTCAATGAAAAAGATACCTGGCACAAATATATTCATGGCAACGCTAGAAATGATTCGACTTCCCTGGTGACGAAATTCAAGGGCGTTCTCTCTTTCATGTCCTTCGATGATAGAGAAGGAAGAAAACCTGGTAAAGAATTATACAAGTTTCTGAACCGATGTATTTCCAGTCGATGTCTTCTATTGCTGCGGGTGCTTGATCTTGAAGGCGTTCACAAGCCCAAATTGCCTGAAAACATTAAGAAACTTACTAGATTGAGGTATCTTGGTCTAAGATGGACTTATTTAGAGTCTCTTCCATCGTTTATAAGCACCTTGCAGAAACTCCAGACTCTTGATCTGAAGCATACTTATATACATACCCTAACCAGCTCCATTTGGAAGACGGAACTGAGACACCTGTTCTTGAGTGAGACTTATCGAACCAGATTTCCAACCAAACCAAGAGGTGTAGGTGATTCTCTATCTGACCTCCAAACATTGTGGGGACTTTTCGTGGATGAAGAGACTCCTGTGAAGGGTGGTCTTGACAAATTGGTGGATATCAAAAGATTGGGAATAGCATGCCAACCAATGTCACCCCAGCCAGAAGAGGTGATGGAATCAAAACTCCAGGCAGTAGCTGATTGGATTACAAAACTAGGATACCTTCAATCACTGAGACTAAAATCAAGAGATGAAAATGGTCGACCTTGGAATATAAACTTGAATTCTTTGGAAAATCACATCAATCTCTATGACATGTATTTGCTGGGATGCTTGAGTAGTCAATCTATTCTATCCCAGTTTCCCCCAAGCTTGGTTGAACTTACCCTATCACATTCCAAACTAAAGGATGATCCCATGCAAATTTTGAAAGATCTTCCAAATCTTCGTTCACTGTCTTTACTTGCAGAATCCTACACTGGAAAAGTTTTCTATTTCGTATCTGACAGCTTTCCTCAACTGCGTGTGTTGAAAGTTTGGAAGCTGGAACAATTGGATTATTGGAGTATAAATCGGAAGGCCCTCCCCTCTCTGAGAAAACTGGAAATCCGATCTTGTCCTCGCTTGACAAAGCTTCCTTTCGGACTGTGGCGTGTTATTAGTCTCCTTGAGTTGAAAGTGACGGACATGGCAATGGAAATCTATACTCATCGCATTCCGCCCAACTGTAAAGTCCACAGGCATTTCTCCCAACACTACCGTGAATCAATCATCTTGCCACGGTTAGTTGCAACTTGATTTGCATGCCTCCCTCTCTTTCATTCATTTTCGTTTTCTTTAGAAATAGTTATTCAATTACACAAAATTTAATATGTTTGGCAGTGAGCTGCAGTCTGTCAACAGCACATTGTGATAGCTGAAGGAAAAGCCAAGTTTGTTCTTCGTGGAAACATGAAACTGAAAATCTGTTTGAATTTGTATTGTCACTTGTTTTCTTGTGTCGTGTAATCCAAATCTCAATAATGTGTGGGGCCGGATAACGGCTCTTGTTATTTATTTTCTTTGATTGTAATCCAAATAAATCAACAACAATCGACCCATGGGTTATGGCCGGGTGTGATTCTGTAGTCCAAATCTTGTTTCATGAGTGGATGTGTGCTTTTATTGTTCTTAACATTTTATAACTACTTGTTCTTGATATTTAATAACTTTCTGTCTTGAATTTCACTAGTTAGAAGGAAATTATAAAGGCGTATTAAATTTACAAACTACAAAATGTAGAATTTTATATTATTTAAAAACTAAATGATATATCTTTGCAATATTGGATTTCAACAATTAATTTATTACAACCACGTCATTTATATTTCAGTATATAAATTATTACAAAAGTAGAAATAACAATACAGTTATATATTTATATGCGCTTAATGTAGAGCATTAAAAATAAAGAACCGAGCTCTGTAGACCAAATGGATGTAGTAGAACTATTATACCACCAAAACACAGTAATTCTAAAAATTCGTTATGGTCAATGATTAGAAAATATAAAGTTTGAGCACTGAAGGAAGAAGAAACGAGGTAATGAACGTTACATGGTCAGCGCCAATCTTTTGGGATGGTCTAAGTTAAGCCACGTGCTATTTTCAATTTACACAATGATGTGAGCAAGTTGATTCTTACCAACTTGATGGACAAGAGCAGATAAGAATCAAATTCAGTACTTAATCCTAAAAGCTTGGAACAAAGCACTTCCTCAACTCTCTTCATGAGGAACTAACCTTCCCAACCCTACCTACATGCCATACCTAGTTATTCCTGGAGGATTGACTTGAGCTAAATGGATTCCTTGGGTTCTGGTGTTGGCTTCACTCCAGATCAAAGGTGCTACCATTGAGTCCAAGCTCAGCATCCTCTTCTTTGATCCGCCGGGAGATCCTTCTAGTGTCAACCCACCCAGACTCTCAAGTGATGTGAGGCAACTTTCAGTGGAACAATCAGCCCCTTGAGGCTGCAGAATACCTGGTACTTCTGAAACATGCATTCCACCTACCTCAGAACACACTGGGGGAAAATACCCACCGTGATCAACCAGGGAACTTCTGGGTGTTTTGCTTTCCAGCCCTTGAAATTTTTGGCCATCTGTGTCAATAATTATGTCCCCAATAAATTGATCGGCCAACATCTTACATGCTCGCTCAAGCATGCCCATGTACCTCCGCTCTGCATCCTGGCGAATTTGCAAGTGCTTCTCTGCCTGTAATACCATAATTCTTAAAAATAGTAAGCGTTAGGGTACACTTATAAGATATAGCAACTATTTCTTTAATACAGCACTAAATCAAACATCATGCAACTATGCACCTAGTCTAACTCCAATACCAATCAAAATGGTCTTAAACAATACACCAAAACGATAAGGCACCTTACATTGTGTGAAGGAAATTTACCTCCACTAGTAAGTGTAGTTTACTTTGCACTTCCATTTGTGCTCTTAATGCCTCTTTGACTTCATGACCCCTACACATGACATTGCAACTCTCAATTTGTTTACCAACAACCATTCAGACATCTGGGCAGGAATCAATTGTTTCTCAAGATACCATGGAATTCTTACTCGTTTGCATCAGAAGCTGGTAACTTTGGAGATGAGTTATCAGTACCAGGGCTTTCTTGAAGATACGAACCTGACATCCCTTGCATAGTTTTTTCAATGAGTGAGACAATCTTTAGACCTTTACAAAAGCTTATATTATAAATAGTATTGCTAGTGCATGATTTTGACCTTGTTTCATACAGATAGAAATTTCAGAATCAACCTTTCTCTGGGCAAGGGAACAATGATAAACATGTGACCAATCCATTGAAACAGACATTGATACATAGTTCAATTTGAGACATCAAATTAAAAAAAAAAATCATATTAGTGGCATATTTTTCAAAAATAAAGATAGATAAAACTACCATCTTTGCATCCCTCGTCAGAATCTTTTCCTGATTGCTTACCAAGCCTGTACTTCTGCAATGCAGTGAACAATAGTATAAAACAGACCATTATCATAAAGTTTCAATTTCACCAATTATTCTGTAATCAACTGTTACAGAATGATATGCAAATAAACCTGAAGATGACTCTTTAAATGATAGAGCGTCAAACCCTTGACATTCATGGTCCTCATGATCGCTTTTGGAGTGGCTTCTGTAAATAATAATTTTAATAGTATAATTAAGTAGAAGACACAAATAATTATAAATGATATATATCAGAATTTCCTACAAAATATTCAAAACCCGTAAAAAACCCACTAAAATTTGAGAAAAATACCATTAAATATCCATCTTTTGACTTTTTTTACTTTTTATTTTTATTTTGAATGCCTTCAAACTGCTGGCAGAAGCGTTTATGTTTATGCCACTTTTAAAAACATAAATCATCATTAAGTCAAAAAAGCAGTCTTAAACACAAAAAATTAATCAAGAAAATGAATCAATAACATGAAGACAACTAAAATCCCCATGACCTTTAGAAATAATCTAAAGAAATGTACAGTTGACTTGAAGAACATATCTCCAACACCAGAACAATGATTGATGTACCAATAACTGAAGGCATTCTCTTCCCCCACATTACTGGATCGTGGCATTATGCTAGATAAATGCTAACTGAAGGCTAAAGTTAATTTTCTTTGAGAATAGTAATATATTATAACCAGTGATGGATCTTGACCATTATTTTAGAAGACCAAATAATATATTATTAATAAATAATAAATAAATATAAAAGAGTAAAAAAAGATGAAAAGGTAAGAGAATAAAACTGTAAAACAAGCAAATATATTTAATGATCATTAAATTTAGGAGTCAAAATTATAAATTCATATGGAAGTTACAAAAATTTAGGGGGTGATGACTCTTTAGTTCCCAAGAAGATCCCCCGTATTACAGAAAACACTTAGCATTAGTTCATGGAAAGGATGCATATATAGTAATACTGAAATATATACAGAAATAGATGGCAACAAACTACTAGAATGACGGAAATCAACATGCAGTAATGAAATTGAAGACACAATCAAAAGAGCCTTATAATAAGTTCTATACTCTAGTGACTAAAACCTAGTATTTCACATTCTAAGCATTTTAGGTCCTTCTATGCTATTAGCGTTTTTGTAACACATTAAGAGGCCTAATTGATGTGGTTTATCACGTCTCAATAGAAGCCATTAGTTGTAGCTTCTGCGTTTTTTTTACCCATTTGACGTGATTTCTACCCCAAACACACATTATCTTAACTGTTAATCACATTATTCAACTATGAAAAAATCGATGAATTTCAACTTGTTCGGCAAGAAACAAAACAAAATAAAAAATAAAAAATGGGGCTTGCTTAAGGTTGGTTAGTTAAAGTTCTCATTTTTTTTCTTTTTTTTTAAATTTTTTTCGAGCGCTAGCAACATAGAGTGCTTAATTAGGCCACAGTTTAAGACACACTGATCACACACAGTCATTAATTACAGAATGGTTTCCTTTAACGCCACAAATTAATATGCTTATAATATACTTAGGAGAATAACCCCACAGCTAATTCAGCCAAAGCTGCAATTCCAAAAATATATTAGTACAACACGGTTAAGAAAGGTCCCTCCTTTCCCTCCTAAACAACAACTAAAACCTCTGCACGAACCCCAGCAACTCGAAACAATTTCCTACCAGTATCAAGCTAATAGTGCAAAAATGATTTCATATACATAAATTAATAATAATTTTCACCAAATGTAGTCCATGACAATCACAATTACAGCACGCCAAAAAAAAAAAAAAACACAGTAGCACACATGATAACATGAATGAGATACGAAAGGGCAAAAATTACTCACTACTGGCACCCCCAAGTTGAGTGACAGCATCAACAAAGCGTTCGTGGAGGTCAGCGGTCCAACGAAGACGAGGTTTGGGATCAGAGGTGAGAACAAGACAAGGGTCTCCGAGGTGAGCGTGATTGGAACCGCCCTGCATGTCTTCCTGCCCAACACCCCCTTCATGGGGATGTATCAACCTAGAAAACATCCTACTCCTATTTTCCTTCTCGTTGTTGTTGTTGTAGAGTGAAAAAACGTGAAACCCCGCGAAGGGAAGAAGAGAGAGAAAAGGAGAAAACGTGGGTATGTTGTTATGTTATGGGAGAAAGAGAGGGAGAAGGGGATGACCCATTTGGTGAAAGGGGAAGCAGAAAGGGGGAGTGGGGCGAATGGGGAAATGGGTATGTGAAAAGCACAAGACTTTGGGTTGAGAGGCCAAATGGAGCTGGCACTGTCACGCTTTACTGGGATTTTGTCACTTTCTCCTGCTTTTCCTTTCTTCTTTTAAACAAAATAACAAATTTAATTAATAAACTCAATGTTGTTCATTTGCAATTGCCGCTCTCTGCTTCCCTCCAATCATTTTTCTGTGGCCCTTTTTTAGGGTTCTCCCTGTGGGGCGTCCATAGGATAATCAAATTATCAAACTCTTCTTCTTTCAATGCACTTCCATCAATTATCACCACTTTCTCACGTCATAATTTGTCTTTTTAAGAATGCAATTTGTGTGTAATGAATGATTTTACAAAACTTGAATAGCACTGTCTCTAATTTGTATTTCTATTTTTTAAAAAGTCTTTTTCTTAGTATGTATGATGTTGCAAAGGTTCTGCATCGGCATGACTCATGAGCAATGTGTGTTGATGATTATCCGGTCCATGATGAGGGTCGTTTTCGTATGGGCTGATGATTACAGAGTTTGGTCTAAGACACATTGTACTCTAGGGCACATCCTTAGTAGTTCAGTGGGCTATGCCAGGAGTCCATTGGATCCAATTGTGGTCCTCTCGATATGGTCAAAACACTGGACCAATTCTCACGCTACACAATTTTCAAAAATCAGTTTACTGTTGTTAGTAGGACTCAAAATACGTCCAAACGAACCACAATTTGGGTTTAAGTTTAGTTTTTTTAAAAAATCTATCTTCTTAATAAACAACATCATGGATCACAATATCCCACTGTTAAAAGTGTATTCCCCCTTCAATCCATCGAAACGTGCATAGCATAAAAAAAGTCGTAAAGAGTGAGTTGTTTCCAAAGAGTTATTGGAACAATAATTTCCTCTTCCAGTAAAAAAAAATAAAAGGTAGAAAGGAAGAAATTGCATGGAGTTAAGCACATTTTAGAACTGGTTCTCAATTTTGTTGGTGGGACAAGGGTGCTTTGATCTTATTGAAGATTAAGCTTGAATTATTGGACCTAAGTAACTTTAGACTATGACTTATGCCACACAGATTTTTGTCATACCCAAGTGCTTAACACCTTCAAATCAAATTTATCTTTTATGGCAAAACCCAGCCTGTGCACAATGTCAATCTCTCGTATTTCCTCATCTTTCTATCTCATTGTCAAACATGTTCATCACAATTTTTTACCTGTCAAACATTTGCTTCTTCAAGTAGGTACCACCCCTCCGCATTTTTTAGACTTTACATGAAATGTGTATGAAAGTTTTCTTAATCTAAAATCAATTTTATAAATTATTATATTACTTGACTAATAAAGAGAGAAATTTATATATAAGGTTGTATATATAATACCATATGTAACACAAGTTATTATTATTATGCATATGAAGGCACATACCCCACACGCATGTAGTGAGAGACACATGCATGGACATGTGGTCCTCCTAGTCACCAATAATCTGCCATCGTACATGTCTAGTTGGTAGCAAAAGTAATGAACTTGTGAAGCTACGTGGAATTCCACATCAATCCCATGTTCTGCAGATTAAGGGGGGCCAATTAATTAGATCTTGTTCTCATTGCATGTGCAATCCATCATATTTATAACTCTCCCCTTAATCCAATGTCTTAATCATGTTATATAGTTTAATACGTCTTATTTTTTAACAAATTAAACTTTATTATTTTCTATTTCTATTTCCGTAATGGGTATTATAAAATACCTATTAGCATTTGTCACTTTAGAAACATATTTCCAAAACCTCATGTTAATTACTATTTTTTCTCATTGACTAATTGTGTTTAGTGGTTATGAGGCATACCCATTATCTTCATTCATGGCCGCTCCATGTGAAATGAACACTATTTGACTGTAATTTAAAATTCATCTGGAAATGTCTTTTTTTTTAGATATATTTAACTTTACGTAAAAAGTTTAGGACATAATATTTTTGTTATATAAATTGGTTTATCTATCATAAAACGAGGGTTAAAAATAAAAAATGGTGATTTCAGATTTAAAAAGGGTAAAAGTTAGAGTAAATATTTTATAAAAATCAAAATGAATCTATTTTATAAAGATAACAAAAATTAATACGAATATTTAGAGGAATGGAAAAACAAATAGAAGAACCAAAATTAAAATGTATTTAAAGTTTTTAATTAGTTATTGAATTAAAAGTAATGTCAGGAAAATAATTTATTATAGTCATTTAGCTGGGTATGGCCAACAACATGCATTCTTCATGATGGGGAGCCAAATTAGGTGGTGTTTCAATGGCAGACACTAACATTGAATGAAGTGTGCTTCATGGGAAAGAAAAATTCATGGAAGATATATCATTGCTTGCTGGTTGCTAACAGTAAAGTATGATTATTGTACTAAGCAAAGAAAGCAACGGGTAAAGGAAAATAACACTAGCACAACAATAGCCTTTAATTAAAAACTATGCCATTTGAAGCCTGGTTACATCACCCCCCTAATATGTATCTACCAAAGTACAAAATTGTGTCATAACATGGACGAGGTTTACCTGATTCCCATCAATTTTGTGAGAATTTAGCCCTCATATGTACATAATAAGATAAGATTAGGATAAATTTTAAACGCTAAAATCAAGTCTCTTTTTTCCATCGTAGAAAAGTAGGTCAGAGTTTGTTGATAAGAGGACAAAGATGAGGTGATGCATACTAGCCACCTGTTTCACTGTGATTTGCTTTGCAGATGAAACCATTATGAAAGTGATGGGTGTGATTGGGAATGATGTGAAGCAGTGGTAGGTGCTTGCAAGTGCTGAGTGATGACCTTTCTACTCTTTGAAACTGGACAATCAGTGGCTGGAGAGAGGACAAGGTCCCTCTTCTTATTGAAAGGGAAAGGGCTTTTGGAAGAGTCTTGAGGTGAAATGGCCACTGGAGGGATCTCAATGGAGTTGAGCTGTGGAGGAGGGTGCTGCCACTGTGGGAGTGGTCCAGCTAAGAGAAGGGTCTGAAGCAGTGGTCCAGCTTCTACCACTGCCTTTAAGAGTTTCCCTTTTTCAGGCAATGGTTTCTTTTCTGCCAATTCCAGGACTGCTTGCAGTGGTGTTGGAAGTGGGGTTGAACTTCCACCAGAAGAGGGCATGCTGTTTTCTTCACTGTCAGAAGAAGCAGCTTGCATAGAATGCTTTTCAGAGAACCCTTCTTGCAGCTCTTCTTCACTCTGGGATGTGGTATCTCTTTGGTGTGTCTGACCAAGTTGTTGCTGGTTCTGGTGCTGCCGCTGTTCTTGCTGCTGCTTCTGCTGAAGTTCTTGCTGGAGCTCTAGTTTTTCCAGCATTAGCTTCTGGCATTTTGCTTGAGCTTCATCTCTCTCCTTGGTGACCCTGCTTAAAAGGTCATTGACATGGATCAAATCACATTCTCTTCTGCTAATCTCCTCCTTAGCTGATGCAATTGTTGCCTCTAGCTCCAAGGTTGTGTACAGAAGAGAATGTTTCAGGTCTTCTAACCCCTGCTAGTTCAGGAATGATACAATACTAAGTAATAGAAGAAAAAGAAAGAAAAGAAAAGATATTTAACCAAGCATTTTAGCAAAGTAGATGTGTCACACACCTCTTCTTGGTGGTAGAACTCCCAGCCAAGAGGGCTACATTCATATTCCATTTGTTACAATGAGAGGTAGAAGGGAGGGAGAATATCTTGGATCTTCAAATCAGGAATGTTGTAGTACTATCCTGGTGCCTACTTTCCTTTTATTCTTGCCTGAACTTTACTTCATGGGACATGGAGTTGAAAAAAAGGACAGAAAGCGCCAAAATCTTAAAGCACAAAGGGCAAATGGTAAGTGCATTTGGCTTTGTAACAAATAGGCACTATGTCCACAAGGACTAAAATTCGGTGGGGGTAGGGAGAGGGAATGTGATTTCATTTCAGCGGTCCAACTTGGAACCTAATCCTCTTCATATTGAGTCTTTTAGGTAGCGGCGGATGGCACGTGTGTACATGTAAAACTCAAAGTAAATAATTTTAGCATCTCAATGAAAAAGTAATTAGTTCGTCTTGGTTTATTCAGTTTCAGAGTCATACGAAATAGTTTCGTAGTTTTAACTACCTAGGGAAATAAAAAATTGCTGATGAAAAGTCTAAACACCATCAACTTTTTGTTGTTTACAAAGTTATAGGATGTTTCTATTCTTCTCTGCATTTTCTTTCTTTCTGGTGAAATCCTCATTCTGCGTTTTGTGATCTTCTCAATGACCAAGTACTTCGTTTATCAGAATGAAAAATGTGTGATCATTACATAAATATGGCAATGCAAATTAGCTTAACTTTGAAAAACATTTAAACATGTAACAGGGATCCTGGCTGCAAGGAGTGACTTTACCAATCTTAGACTAATGTAAACCACTACTTTTCTGTTTATATGTTGTATTTGGTCAGAGTAAAACAAAAATAAAAGTGTAGTTAGAGGAATGATTAAAGGCATGAGATCTTATATCCTTTACCTTTTGTGTGTATATGCTTTGGTTTTTAATTTTGACTAAAAAGAGGATTTTGCCATGGCTTTATCAGTTATTATCACGCCATCCCATACCATATACTAAAGCATGTATTGTTGTTACTTTTTCCCTCCTCAGTCCTCACTCCCTCCATCATTTTCCTGTTCTCACTCAAATGGTTATAATGCAATGTCGTATCCTCTTGCCTAATGAAAATGACACATCAACTTTTGATTTTAACCTATATTCTCTAGCCAATTTGAGGGTTAACCTCTACTCACCTGCTGATTGGAAGTAAAGTGATGTAAATATCATTGCACAATCTGGTTTTCCGCTATCTGAAAATGATATTTGGATCATCTCAGAAATTAACCATCCTAAGGTAAGACATGAAAAGTGCTCATTACTTGCACAATTATAAACTATCAACATATTTTATTAACAAAGATTACTAAGAGCATTCGAGAGATTATATATGTACATTTCATTATCTACCGCATTAGATATCTGTCAGTCAAAGAAGGGTGCTGAGAAGAAAAATGTTTTCACCAAAAACCATAGGGGGCAACTGAGATAATGGTGGGTCCATTTTGTAGCTCTTTTTCACAGTAAAGTTCATTCCTTTTAGATCAGAAGAGAGGAAAAGAATAACGGCTTATGCAGCACCTAACTTACTGTTTTGGTAAGAAAATATTGCCATTGATCGATCCCATTGCAACCGTGTGGGTCCTCATATACCCTCTTCACACTTGGTTTCTTCTATCCATGCACCAAAGTAGTAGGATGAAGAGTGTTACGCATAAGGACAAATTTTTATATACATCCTTTTAAGAAAAAACAAATAAAACCCTTAACGTTTGTCTATGAATACATTGAATAGCATTTTCTGCTATGCGCAAAATCAATATCTAAGGCAATAACTTTATGGGAATCAGTTAAAACAATCTTATTCAAAAGCCACAATTTCTGTCATCTCTTGGAAGAAAATCCTCAGTACAAACCAACAATTAGCACTTTGGTTATGGAGACCATATTATATATGATTCTATAATTTTCGTAGGAAAAACAAAATTCCCAGAAAAGGAATCTGCATGAGTCTCTAGAAGTGATTTGGTAGCTTATGATGTATTGTTGAACTAGGGAGAAAAAAAGTGATGGTGGCTCTTAGCGTGCATGAAGCACTGCAATAATTGGCAAAGATTATCTTTATCCTTGTACCTGATAGGATAAGATTCTTAGAGATTATTTTATATAATATTTAATTATTTGATGTAATCTAGGTGGGTTATTTTCCTCCGTGAAGGAATAGTTAATTGATGAGAAATGAATGGCACATAACCGTTACTCATGAAAATAGAATTAGTACATTTTATTCTTCAATCTTCTTTTTGCATTATTTAGTACTATAATCACTTCGAACGACTTAAAAGTGAATTGATTCCTGTTTGAAATATGATGCCAGTACATTTTAATAAAAATATATATAACTTAATTAATGTTAATTAGCTATTTGATTCGTGCAGTGACGCGGTTTTGAGCTTTAGAATGTTGGGGAAATCAGAAACTTTTGTCTTCGTTTGCATGTGAGGAATGGAAGGCCCACATAACTAACCATAATTCTTTCAAGTCTAATTTTGGACTTTTGGCTAATTAACCCATCTTTTTTATCCATCAAACAAAGAAATTTATATTTACATTTCTGTTTATCCAAGAAAATCAACAAAAACACAATACTTTGCTTTTTTATCTATAATTTTTTCACCCTCTTTTGAATTTTGGTGTGAGGGTTTCTTAAAAAAAGTTCCCTCTTTACACTGTAGTATCCCTCATGCAATTTCTCTTATTCTAAAGTTTTCATGATGAATAATCATAATGCATGCGAGAATATGAACGAAAAAGGTGTAATATATATATATATATATATATATATATATATATATATATATAATAGCTTCAGCACCACCATTCTGAGAAAGCAACTGATTTTACCCAATGGTGTGGGGGTGGTTTAAATAGGATTTCATGGGTATGAATTCAATGTGTAAGTAAATACATATTGTGTACCTACAAGCAAGTTGATGTAGAGTTTGACAAAAGAGATTTATTTCCAAGCATGAAAGCATATTATCAATGAAGCCAAATTAGACTTTTTTTTAATTCCGAAAAGGATATACTAAAATTATTCGATGAAAATCATTTCGGAAAGAACATCTTAGAATAAATTATAAATTCTTCCAAACAGTTTCTTTTTTCTTTTTAACAAATCTCATCCAAGCATCAGCCCCACATCCAAGATTTTTTTTTTTCATTTTTTTTTATCAATTTTGTTTGTTTTGGAAAATAAAATAAAGGATACAGATATGTGCTTTTAGTACTTAATTACACCTCCAAATGTATCTTTTATTCATGAATCTGAGTAACATTTTGACAAAATCATTTTTTGATAAATTTATTTTAATAGAAAGCATGATTCTCGACAAATGAAGTTCAGGTAAAATTATATTTGCAAAATATAATTAATGATTATCTCGACAAATTCACCCTTTTTCCTTTGTTTTTTTGCCCGTGACCTCCTTTTCTCCACTCCTTTTTCGAAAACTACCACCTAACATAAATTTAGTGTATGACGGGGAAGGGACAAGCAGGGAAACCAACATGAATCAAATATTATCATCTAATGAGATGATCATAATAACGTACATCAATTTTCAACGATGCAAGGCCCTAACAAGAAGCTACTATTCAACATAACATCAATAGAACCCTACATGCATTACTATGAATGTGGATATCGAGCATTTGCAGTTTCTACAGAGTTATTAATTCAGCGAGAATTTGATATGAAATTGCCCGACTTATCTCTACGCATCTTAATGTTGAGTGGAGCTTCTTTGTAGGACACAACCTTCTCAACAGTCCGACGCAATGGCCGCCCAACAGATGATCTGCGAGTTTCCTGAGACGCAAATGAACAGGCATTGTTTCCTTGTTCAGAAGTTGTAGTTGATGTTGGACAACATTTTTCTGACATATTATCAGATAATAGGGGGACATTAAATTTTGCATCTTTTATCTCAAATAAGTCCTCTGTTGCTTCTGGATTCTCTGGACTGAACCTGTTAGTTTGTCTTCTCATACTATTCCTGTAGAAAATTCTCCAAGATATGTTAAGCAGGTTTTATTCTCTAACTTAGTCACAAATTCCCAGCTATTAAATCCAATCAGAAAGTGGAAGTATAAGCTTACCTCTTCTTTTCAATGTTATTTTTGGTATCAACTTGTTCAGTCATAGTAGGTCTTGAAGCTGCATGAAAACAATATGCATAAGGCTCGATTTAGCAAGACTGCAAGAGATAGCAGGAAAATGGACAAGTTGTGTACAGTTACATTCTGTAGCTTCTCTGGCATCGTCATGAACCTTGGACCCCAATGATGTAGGTCCACTTTCATTGACCAAATTTTCTTGTAGATGTGAAATATCATATTTTACTTCAACTACCTCTACCAAATCTTCTGCTTGTACTGGTTTTTCATCTTTTAACTCTGCAGATTGCCTTCTCAAACAATACCTGTATGCATATTCAAGGGAGTTATATGATCTGCCTTGCTCCTAAGTAGTAAGTAGGGTAAAGTCCAAATTTGGAGTTCTAAAATCATTACAGCATAGCAAACAGACTCAAACTCATACCTGTGGTTGTCGACCTTTTCTATGGATTTGACTTGTTTACTAACGGCAGGTGCAGAGGCTGCATGAGTGAAAGACCTCTTTAGAGATTATTCATTTACATTGAAATTACACACACAAACAAACACACAGACAGTACATCGAGGTTTAGACACTCTCTTCCTTTTTGCATTCTTCCTATCATCTTCTTGGAATGACTGATTATTCTGACATGCTCTCACCTAGTAATAGTTAAAGAAAAAGCAAATTGTTGCGGTGCCATTAAGAAGGAAATGAAGACCAACCAGCAGAAGAAACAATAATGAAATTTTCAAAAAAGTACCTCGTTAACATCAGTTTCATGCTTCAATTTAACTGTGTGCTGTTTTTGCTAAAGAAAGAAGATGTAACAGTCAAAAACAAAACTAAGCCTTTCTCCCTTGCTCATTTGCAATTTATCAGCTTAGAGATGAGTTACACTAACCGTCAATTCTAATTTCATAGCATTGAGTACCCCATTTTTGCTTCCCAGCTCAAGCTGAAGTTCCCTTAGCTGAATGGCAAATATCACTAAACTCATCACAAAAAAAATGAAACCAATAATTGCCACAAGCACCAAAAGTTTTCATTTCAAGACTCACCTTCTGTCTACTTGAATTAAGCTCCTGCATTGCATAAAAGCAACACACAACAGCAATTGTAGATTAGAATTTCAATAAGAGCAAAACACTTGACTATTAAAAACATTTGGTCCGTACCGCCAGCATTTGACTATTTGTGAGGGCTAGTTCCGCATTTTGCTTCCTTAGTTTCTGAAAATTGTTTTGACACTTCTGCAGCTCAGCTTTACAAGATTCTATAATCGCACTGTCCACACAAGTAGAGATAACCCCAGTAGATGAAAACAATCAATCAAACAGACCAGAGACAAAATAAAAAAAAGAAGACCAAATTGGGAGAGAAAGTATAAATTACTCTCTATTAGCAAGAAGCTTCATTAACATTTCCTTTTCCTGGGAAGCATATTCAAAACATACATCAGCAAAGTGTGAAGCCAATGAGAGAAGCAAACGAAAAACGAAACACGAGAAGTATGTATGTATATATAATACACCTTGAGAAGGTGTTCAACATTGACGTGTTGCTTTGGTTGTTGCTGCAAGTTGGTCACGTCAGCAAGAATTTTGTTCTGGGAAGCTCCAACTCCAACCCCCACTCCCACCGAAACAGAATCTCCCTTTACCACTTTCACTCTCCTTGTTTTTATACCTGCAATTCATGAAGTGACAGTTCAGATTAAAAAATCCCAGATTTTGCATGTAGAATTTCGTCTGTACTTTGGAGCTTCAATAAATCTAGTGGATGGAAAAACCTAAGAGCTATATAGCCACAAATTAGATCTTGAAATATTAACTATCCCAGACACAATAACTCGATTGGGGCGAGAAAACCCTAATCGAAGGCAAAATATGGCGGTGAAAGATGAGTGAAATTATTAAAAGAGTAAAAGACAGAAACGAGAAAACCCTAAAGTAGAGAAATCGGAGTACTTCCAACGGCGTCGGAATTGGAGTCGAGGAAGACGGCGTCACCACATTCCATTTGCACAACTCTGTGTCTCTGCTTCGGCGCGTGTTTGTGTGTAGACTGAAGAGAGTAGGGAAAGTCCGAATCGGAATCGTCACCACTCAAGAAATTAGAGACAAACGGCTTTCCAAACCTAACTCCGAACCTCCATTTTGAATCTTCTATCTCCCAACGGTTCTCCTATGGTTTCTTACCCGCCCATTATTTTGTGTTGTAATATTAATATTTGAATTTTTATATAGTAATAATAATAATCCACTTAAAACTTATTTTATTATAGAGCCAAAAAATATATACTGATGTGATGGACCAATATGAAACAGTAGATTATATATATATAAATTAAACTTAGTAATTTTTTATTCAATCCATTCTATTTTTTTATTTAGATTGATTGATATATGAACTTATGATCCACTTTTAAAAATTAATAATTACAAATTAAAATAATAATAATAATTTTATTAATGTACATACTATATATATTTAATAATTTTAACTTTTATAATCGTGTATTCTATATTTAATTGTAAAATTAAATTTATTAATTTTAATTTAAAATCAGCTTTTTATTTATTTTTGTAAATGGATATTTCGACTGAAAATCTAAAAGCATGAGTTATTTTATAGTCTATATCATGTTTGGAGGGACACAACCATTTAACACTTCTATTCAATTATAATATTATATACAATTCAATTATTAATCTTGTATGAAAATTATAAATTTTTATTTTCTTAAATTAATTTATTTTATATCTATTTACTCCTTTAATTTTTCATGTTTTAAGTATTTATAATTATCTTTCATTAAATAAAATAAAATTATACATTTTCTACTTAAAAAAAATGCGTTGAGAAAATATATTTTAAATATTATCCCTGACTTTTATTTTACCACCTCAGTCGAAAATAGTTTGTTGCTTCATGTATTTTCATAATAAATTTTCTCTGCATCTTGATAATTATATTAAACTTTATTTGTATCTTCATCTTCAAAACATATTTTATATTGACCATTCCAAAAATATATTTTAAAATACTCAATTTGAAATGTGTTATTAGAAAAGTTTTTGGGAAGACTTTTTTGATACGCATTATGGAACACTCAATCCCGAAAATATATTTCAAAATACCAATTTTAGAATGTATTTTCAGAAAAGTCAATTCAGAAATTAAAATTATAGAATATGTTTCCAGAAAAGTCAACCTGAATATACATTTTGGATTCATGTTTTGAAATGTATTTTCATATTAGCTTTTCTGAAAACACATTCTAGAACACTCGATTTAGAATATAATTTCGAATTGGCCTTTGTGGAACACATTCCAAAACACTCAATTTCAAATGCATTTTCGAATTGTTTTTCTAGAATTCAATCTTATTTTTACCACACTATTTTAGATAAAAAAATAAAAATTATGAAAAGTGCATTTTAGATATTTGATTTGGAGTATGGAGGTACTCGAAAAAATTACGGGATGCAGGAAGCAAGAACCTCAAAGGATATTTTAAATATTTGACTTAGATTATAGAGGTGTTTGGAAAAATTATGAGGATACGGAAGCAAGAACCTCAAAAATATATTCCAGAAGCCCATTTAATGGGAGGTGCCCAAGAAGAAATAGCCCCAAAATATCTCAGCCTAGTGTTGGGCCCAGACCCCGTAACCAGCCTGAAGAAAGCCCAAGTATTTTCAGAAAAACGACAGAATCAATAATCCCATGAACCGAGACTCGCCTATTTTACCTTTTGCACGCTTACATTTATATTTAAATCTGTAGATTATTATCATAACATGTTTGAAAGTGAAGGATTAGTTGTAGTCTTATTTTGGGTGAAAAAGTTAGAAGGAGTTGGTATTGGAAGCAGTACATGAAGGTCGACATCGAATGATGAAAACAAAAAGAAGGGTCAATATCATTAATCCTGAATTTCTCAAAACATTCTCATAATTTTCTCTGCAACTCTCATAGTACAAATTGTCTCGTTCTTTGAAAACTGAAGGAAACAATTACATTTTGTTGTTATTCAAGAAAGAAAAAGTCGATAAGGAGTAAAATAATATAGAATTTGAAATGGATGTGTTGTCGATTCTATATATTCTCTTGAGGATAGAGTGAAGTACAAGTCTAAATTCCACCCTTCATATATATCATTCATTTATTCATGTCTTTTGAAAGGAATATTAATATACACATGACCACTCCTTATACTATGCAAAATTCAACATTCAATTCCAATATTATTACTTTATTTGCTAAAGGAATTTTAGTAGATTATGATTTTTTGTTGTATTAAAGAAAAAAATACGTTTATTTTATGACAGGCACAAAGTTTTGACCTTTTTTTTGTTGGTAATATGTTTTCTTTAACTGTTGGTGTTATGTTGTGTTTGTGTATATCTTTTGGTATTATTGTTGAGTTTTTTACGTGTCAGGGGAATTTCAAAGTTTGTTGTCACAGGTTGTATAGTACTGTTTTCTTGGTGCAGAGAAAATATCTGAATGCCAGTTTTATGATCTTCCTGTCTCCTTGCTTCTGCTTAACTGGTAACTATGTTTGCATTCAAATTTATTATTGCACAGTTTTTTTATGAAGTATTTATGGTAAAATAGTTTAGGGTTTTAGTGTAAAACTATTAAGGGTCACTCTGTTTTGTTACTTTCACCTTGCCAAACACACCCTAAAATCATGGCAGAATAAGCCAAAGCCCAATAATTGATTATAGGCTTGGCAGAGAAAAAAGTGCTTTGGACTCAAGTCACTATTGGTCTATACCTCTACATAATAATTCACAATCACTCTATCTTTGCCTTTTGGGCACAAGCATTTATTTTTATTATTTCTTTTTCAAAATTGTTTGTCCTATTTTGTGAAAAAAGGGTTTTAAGAAGTTTTTTATTTATTATTCTTTTAATGAGATTATACTTGTACAATTTCAGTATTTTTTTTGGTTCAAATTTTTAACAGAAAATACTATACTTTTAAAAATAATTTAGCAAATAGTTTTTTATTTAAATTAATTACTTCAAACATGTACTTAGTAGAATCTTTCCATTCAAACCCAGGCATACAGTACTTAATGAGAGCGCAATGAGTTTGGATTTGTGGGTTCAAAACAAAACGCTTGTCACAAACATGGGTTGGGCTAATATTTTTCATTTTAGGTTATAATGTCATATGACCCAAAGGGAGAAAAATAGTTAGATATCTATAATTTTATTTTTATTTTCAATTTAATTATTTAAACATGATTTAATAATTTATATTTGTAATTCTCGCTGTATAGATCGATAATGTCATAATTATTAAAAAAAAAACTATAAAGAAAACATGCATAGTTTATTTAACTTGTAATCATCCAAATGTAATTTCATTATTTAAATCATGATAATAAAATCTAATATACAAAAAAAGAATTGGATGATGATGATGATTATTTCTGGATACATTTCTACCATCAAAAAGTGGTTTTCTTTAACTTAAACATATATTGTTGTAGTCGTGATTTTCTAAAAGAATATCAGTAATGATGCAGTTAATTCTGTGCTGAACTGGTTTATGACATAAACTGGAGATGCCAGAAACAGTATGCGTTTGGATATGATATAATCTTCTTTGGGAGTTCTAAGTTGATGAGTTGTTGTTGTTGTTGTTTGTAAGGATGATGTTATGTGATGTTGTAATCGTATTTCTCAAAATGTGTCAGGCAACAGAAAACCATGGATTTAGAAGAGAGTGAACAAAACGGAGAGTGAGTGAGGAAAGCCAACTTTTGAGGAAGGAATTAGAAGAGAGAGAGAGAGAGAGAGAGAGAGAGAGAGAAAGAAAGTATTATTTTAAGAGGAACATTGGTTTTCATGCAATCTGTTTTATTTGTGGGTTGCGATTATTCCATCAATCATTCAAGGCATTATTCCCTCTTCTCCTCGAGAAAAGATAAAAGGTAAAGCCCACCACCACTGTTCCCTCTGTCCATTCAAACAGACAGACAGTCCTCTCTCTCTTTTTCCTCATCTCCTCCTTCTTCTCTCCTTCCTTTTATCATCTTTCTCTTTTTCTCTCTCCACCAGCTTATTCTTAACAAAAGTCATTATTCCATTCATAATGTTTAAAGCTTGTTCTCACTTTGCCACTTATTTTGCACTTCCTACAATATTAATCACCACAAGCTTTTGATAATCCACTTACCTTTACAATGTACAAGAAAGAAAGAAAGAGAGAGAGAAAGTTGCATATCACAGCCAATCCACTTTCATATAAAAAGCCAAAATTTCCCTCACTGACAAGAAAGGCACAAAACCCACATAATATCTATCTTGCAGACGTTGCTATAAGTGTACCAAACAAAGTATAAACCACCATATAGAGATACATATCAGCATATCCAAGCTCCTGAGCCAGCATACAGAACCCTTTTCTTTCTAGTTTGTATTACTGTACTACATCTTTCAAACCAAATGAACCTCGTTGATCCAAAACTTCATTAACTCGTATCTAAGCCTAGCCCGTGTACTATAGATATACCTCTGTGTGTGAGTGAGTTGTTATTTTTACAAGTTGAGAAGATGAGAGGAGGTATTTGTAGTATACAGCTTCAGGCTCTTGCACCTGAGGCTGCAACTGTTGTTAAGCAAGCTGTTAATCTTGCCACAAGAAGAGGTCATGCACAAGTGACTCCTCTTCATGTTGCTAGTGCCATGCTTGCAACCTCCACAGGTCTTCTCCGCAAGGCTTGTCTTCAGTGTCACTCTCACCCTCTTCAGTGCAAGGCTCTTGAGCTTTGTTTCAATGTTGCACTCAACCGTTTGCCAGCTTCCACTTCAAGCCCTCTTTTGGCTCCTCAATATTCCACCCCTTCACTATCCAATGCCTTGGTTGCAGCTTTCAAACGTGCTCAGGCTCACCAGCGCCGCGGATCTATTGAGAACCAGCAGCAGCATATTTTGGCCTTGAAGATTGAGGTGGAACAGCTCATAATTTCCATTCTTGATGACCCTAGTGTTAGTAGGGTCATGAGAGAAGCCGGTTTCTCTAGCACCCTTGTGAAAAGCAGGGTTGAACAAGCTGTATCAATGGAAGTTTGTTCACAAAAGGCTCCCGATAGGAGTCAGGCCAAAGAAAGCACTAAGCCTCAAGTTATTCTCGGTGGTGGTAACGTGTCTCCATCTAGACCTTTTGGTCAAGTTACTGGGGGACAACTCATCAAGCCTCTAGACCATTTTAACAATGATGATGTAACTAGTGTGTTGAGTGAGTTGGTGAGGAGAAGAAGAAACACAGTTATTGTGGGGGAGAGTGTGACCAATGTTGAGGCAGTAGCTAGGGGAGTAATGGAGAGGTTTGAGGTGGGGAATGTTCCTGGAGACTTGAGGTATGTACAATTTGTGAGCCTTCCTCTTATCTGTTTCAGAAACATTAGCAAGGAGGAAGTTGAACATAAGCTTATGGAGGTTAGAAACCTTGTAAAGAGCTATGTGGGAAGAGGGGTTATTCTTTATTTAGGTGACCTAAAGTGGTTGTTTGAGTTCTGGACAAATTATTGTGAGCAAAAAACAAAATACTACTGTTCTGTAGAGCACATGGTTATGGAGCTTAAAAAGTTGATAAGTGGTAGTGTGGAGTCCAGCAGACTGTGGCTTATGGGGATTGCAACTTTTAAGACATATATGAAGTGTAAAATATGTCACCCATCCCTAGAAACTATTTGGGAGCTTCATCCCTTCACAATTCCTGTGGGAAGCCTGAGCCTAAGTTTGAATTTGGACAGGTAATTATTTATTCTTCTATATTTATTTATCGTCTGAGCTTAGATTTTTTTTTTCTATGCTGAATTACCTCGTGTCACATTTTTCAGTGATTTTCAAGCTCAGAAAAGAAGCAAGGTATTTTTCAAGGATGTCTCTTTGGATGATAGAGAAAGAGTCCGAAACCATCTAACTTGCTGCAGGGATTGCTCGATAAATTTTGAAAAAGAAGCTCAGAGCATAGCTAACAATGTAAGCAAGAAAGTTTGCACTACTAGTAACTTGCCAACGTGGCTTCAAAATTGCAAGGAAGAGAAAAGTGACATAATGGAAGATCAGGTGTGTATCATAGTTAATAATCGCGCATTTAGCTCATACAAATATTTATCTTCTTTTTTTTAAACATGTCTAATTTTTTTCTTCTTCTTTCTGAAACAGGAAAATGCAAGGCTCAAGGATCTGTCCAAGAAATGGAATTCATTGTGCAACTCAATACACAGAGACCCTTCCATTATTGAGAAACCATTTCTGTTTGTTTCATCATCTCCATCGTCTCCCACTTCTGTTTCCTCACTTGAAAGGAAGTCTAACTTGCATCACAGCCACCTAAATTGGCCAATCATTTCTGTATCAGAAAAGTCACCAAAAGAATTTGAGTTGTACACTGAAACTGGAGATGATGATTATGACAGCAATTTCATAATGTTCATGCCAGATAGAGATGTCCCTAAACCAGATCTTCTGTCAAATCCCAACTCTAGCCCCAACTCAGCTTCTTCAAGCGAAGCAGTGGAGGGTTTGGAAAGCACTGAAATGTTCATGGAACCTAATGCAGAGAATCATAAGATTCTGTGTGATGCCTTGGAGAAAAAGGTTCCACAGCATAAAGAAGTTATTTCAGAGATTGCAAGTACCGTCCTTCACTGTAGATCAGGAATGAGGAAAAGAGAGAACCTCTTGATGAAGAGAGGAGACAATCAAGAAACTTGGATGTTCTTTCTTGGTGTGAATTCTCAAGCCAAAGAGAGTATCTCAAGGGAATTAGCTAAAGTTGTTTTTGGCTCTTACAGTAACTTTGTCACAATTGGCATGAGCAGTTTCTCTTCCCCAGAAGATGATTCCACTGATGAAAAGTCCAAAAGGAAGAGGCCAAGAGAAGATTTGAAAAGCACTTATGTTCAAAGATTCGGGGAAGCAGTGAATGAGAACCCTCATAGGGTGTTCTTCTTGGAAGACTTGGAGCAAGTGGATTATCATTCTCAAAAGGGTGTAAAACAAGCAATTCAAAGTGGAAGCATTACACTTCCTGATGGTGAATCTGTTCCTCTCAAGGATGCCATTGTCATTTTCAGTTGTGAAAGCTTCTCTTCACCAATGTCAAGATCTCCAGTGAGAAAATCACCATCTGCCGAGATCAAAGGAAAAGAGAATATGAATGATGAAAGTTCCAGCCTCTCTTTGGATCTCAATATTGCCATTGAAGATGATAGTGGAAATGTGACATTAGGTGGAGATACTGGTATCCTAGAGTTAGTTGATAAACAAATTAGTTTCAACATACAAGAATTGTGATATGTTCTGTGTTAAATTTGGGTGTTACCTTTTTTTTCTTTTCTTATTGTATTGTTTTTGAGGTACACTTAGTGGGGTTCAGGAGGAAAGAAAAACATGAAGGGTAAAGTTATATTAGATAGAAATATCATATAGCTTAATCTGCATTTCTTAAGCTTGGATGCAGATGGTATATTTAGGAAGAGAATGAGTCTGTGTATATGTTAATTAATGTGCTCCAATCTTTTGCATGTAATTTGATTCCTGTTCTAACTAAATATATTTTAGTTACTGGTTTCCAATCTATCATGCTGCATCCTTCACTAATCATTGTCTCATGGAGATGGAACATTCATTTAATAATTTTATACATAACTTTTTATAATGCTTTTCCATTTTTTTCCTCCTTCATATCAGTTATCATAATTCTTACAGCATATTCCTCATTTTCTTCTGTATCCTTTTATTGAGTAATGATACATTCATATTTTTATTTTAAAACCAGATAAAAGTATCTATAAATTTCTATTTATATCTCCCTTTTCACTTTTAAAACCATATCCACACATTAAAACATACACATTTTTCATTTTGTTGTCTGCTGTCTTAATTTTTTCCATATTCTTATTGAAGTAAAGAAAAAATAAAAAATTTCCAACACTGCAATACTCAAACTTTCTGACATAAATAAAAAAACCCAATAATATGTCATAGCATTAATTAATAAAAAAGGGAAAAGGAGGAAAGCACATGCATATTTTAGATAAGTCTGTAAATGGGATAATTTGATTTTACTTTTTGTATTCTTTGAGAAAAGCAAGTAAAAAATGATGACAGGCCTTCTTGTGTTTCTGAAACAGGACTTTGGCAGTCATATATGCTTGGCATTCATACAATTGGTTGTCAGAAGAGAGTACTGTTGTCTCAGCTTTACTCTTACATAAATCAAAATGAATCTCTATAACATTTTCTTTTTCACCCATAATCAACTATGGACCACTTTATCCTCTTTAATATATATACAAAGTGGAAGAGATAGAAGAGGTAAATATAAATATATTGGAAGTGATAATGATAAAAAATAATAGCAGTTTGTATGCAAATACCCAAGTTTTTCTTTTGCAGATAATTTATTTGAAACATGATGAGTCATTAAATCTATGCATGTTTTTAGCAAAAAATCAAAATCTTGTCATGATTTGTAAAATATCCTTTTTGACTTGACCTCATTTCTACATTTTTTTTGTTTAACCTTGTGATTATGTGAGTTTATAATGGGATTTTTTTACTCATTGGTCCACTGATTATTACAACTTACATAATCAGTTTTTTATTTTTTTAACTTTCGAATTATTAAGTTATCATATTACATAAAAAATATGTATTAACTTATAAATGTTTTTAATTAAAGTATGTATACGAGTTTTATATAATTTAGAGTTGA